AAAGAATGGAAATAAAAACAAAGGTGCTGTATATAAAGAAAGAGAACCTGAAGGTGATGTTGCCTTGAGGCCAAAGCTTGTGAGTCAACTCATCGACAACTTCAGGATTATCCGCACCGTCAAAGCCCATACCTTCGTATAAAGGTATAGTCGGAACCTGACCGGCGTATCCTTTGTAGAGTTTGTCAGACTTTGTATTCAGTTTGGTCTCCAACGGTAAATTAAAAACTTCCTCCGAAGCCTCGAACAGTGCCTTCCGTAGCTCCACTGAAGCTCCATCGAACAAGGCCTCGAAACATCCGAAACCTTCTAGGGCTTTTCGGACTTGGGCTCTCACTGAGTCCCACTCGAGGGTTTCCGGTTTGAGGTCACGACTCGAGAAGTCGATGACCGGAAGGGAAAGGGGAAATTGGGTTTTCGAACTCATCGTCATTATTAGCAGAGTGTTTAAGAATTAAGAGTACAGAATTGTGTTTGTGTTCTGTGAATACTTCGAAGACGATCGGTTGGTTATTATATAGGAGGAGAAAGTCGATGTGTGTTCATATGAGTTTGGTCTTAAACAATAGTACTAATTATATGTTTGTTACTTTAATTGGATTATTAAAGTGTTACATGTTGTTAATTTTGGAATACAAAAAGACTCTAGGCGAATATGGGTTAGAAAATGAGAAAATACTGTAGACAAAAAATAATTAATAATGAGAAAATGCTATCTGCATGTCAGCATGGTCGGCTTAAGAGAAATTACAAATAAATAATATTAGTGATGATTATACAAAGTCAAAATAGCAGCATTTCACGAAACTACTGAAATTAGCACTATTAAATAATAATCGTGGTTCTAATATTTTTGTTTATATGGAAACTACATTTCTAATACATTAGATGATTCCAGAAATATAGAATGCTATCGTCATTAATTCAGAAAATGTTATTTTACTTTTTTTTTTTTACTGTAGCCAACTCGAATTTAAACAGACAAAATTCAATCAACATGACATTAGTTACGTGCCAGTTGGTTCAAGGTTACTCAGTCAATGCTGTCAAGCAAAAAAAACAACGTGGTATGTAGTGTAAGTCTTCGAAACAATCGTTTTCATGAATATTACACATTTAAATTTTTCTAAAAAAACTATATATATGAAACGTGAAATTTCTGAGGATGTTCGTTACTTGACTTTTAGTTCAACCGACCTGCCGGCTTATAGAGTGCGACTTTGATTTTCATGCCAAGTGTGCTTTGAAAGAGGAGGCCAACACAACCGGCGGCGATGCTGTGAAAGAAGGTGGTGGCGGCCAGTCCAAAGAGGGGTTGGGGTTTGTGACGGAAATGTGTGCACCAAGGCCGGATTGAGTCCTAAATCTTCTAGGGCTCTAACCGAGTCCCACTGGGGAGTTTCCGGTTTGAGTTTTGGAATCGAGAAGTCAATGACCGGGAGAGAAAGGGCCGGGGAAGAACTTGGATTTTTGAACTTATCGTCATTATCTTTCTTTAAGAGTTAAGAGTTTAGTTTGTGAATATATACTTCGAAGACTCGGTTGGTTTAATATAGGAGGAGAAAGTCGGTCTGAATCTCATGAGTTCTGTCTTAAACAATAGTACATTTTTTAAGTTTGTTGCCTTAAATTGGATTATTAAAGTGTTACGCCACGTTATTACACTTGGAATACAGTAAGTCTCTCTAGTCGAGTGTGGGTTAGAAAATCAGAATATACTACATGTCAGCAAGCTTCATGGTCATGGCTTAAGAGAAATTACTAAACATATTATACTAGAGACTATATATACAAAGTTAAAATTGGCACTATATATAAAAGCTAAACTATCAAATCTACAATGTTCTACAATTCAGGATTTAGTATACTTTATGTTTTGTTTATTAATCGATCCGACAAGTTCTGTCCCAAGCCGTCTCTCCTTCCCAAGACCTAACCAAGACATGTATGTTGATATTTCTTATTCTGATGTATCATGTACTAATCAATGAACAGCATCTGGAGTATTTGTAAATCAGGTTTTATAACAAGCTCAAGAGCCATAAAGACAAAGTAAAGGGTAACAACAAAGGCCAACGCAAGAGCAAATCAAACAAGCATAGCTAGTGTTTTACATAAAAGGATAGCTGGTGATCACATCATACGTACAGTCCTATTTTATCCACAAGGCATATATATTTAAAGGGAACAATAAGTTTTGAAAGCTGATAGATCTCTCTTCTTTGTGTCTGTGTAGCTGAAGTTAAGGTAAGCCTCAAAATCAAAAGGCTTATAGAGACGAGGATGTTCATCATCGACAATCTCCTCGGGCGCATTTATGATTAGCCCTTCTTTAGGAAGCAAGAACAATCCAGCCACGTGCCGATCTTTCTTTCCGGTTATAACCACATGGTGAAGTGGAGGAAACACACCACCATTCAATAGCACCTACAAAACTCATTTTTTTGATGTTTCTCACGTAATTTATTTGACGAATTAAAAACATAATTAATAATTTAAAAAATTACGTGATCTTACATGAAGAGAAGCTCCAGCTATGACAAGGAAAGAAGAATCTTGCGATGGCTTAGCTTTGATCCACTCTTCACCATCTTTGGTTTTGATCTCCAAGCCATCTACTACGTCGTTTTGACAAAGTATGGTGAGAAAATGTCTATCGATATGAGGATCAAGGCCTAGCTGCTTCTCCTCTGTGTTTTCGTCAAGCCCTCTATATTTAAAGAAACGAAAGTGGTTTTTCACTGAGTTAAGATGCTCATCGATGTATTTCTCGAGCCCGAAACTCTCCATGATCATCGTCCTTACTTTCACGTCTAATTCTATTAACTTCTCCGCGAATGACTGAACACTCTTGCTGCAAGAACAGAAATATAATTAAATATGAGAGTATTAAAATATATCCATAATGTAAACTAGCAATTGTTTAATTCATCTGTTCCTGTAGTGTTTTAGTCGTTATAAATTTGAATAATTGTAGAAGTTGTCATTTTGGTTATAAAACTACATAAAGATTGCTAAATTTGATATATAAAAATTGTGGCATTAGTTACAATATTTGTTTGTATACAAAGCATCTAGTCATATATATATATATGTGATATAAGAAAGAGAACCTGAAGGTGATGTTTCCTTGAGGCCAAAGCTTGTGAGTCCACTCATCGACAACTTCAGGATTATCCACACCGTCAAAGCCCATACCTTCGTATAAAGGTATACTCGGAATCGTATCGGAGTATCCTTTGTAGATTGTGTCAGTCTTTGCACTCAGTTTGGTCTCCAATGGTAAATCAAAAACTCCCTCCGAGGCCACGAACAGTGCCTTTCGTAGCTCCGCTGAAGCTCCATCGAACATGGCCTCGAAACACCCGAAATCTTCTAGGGCTTTTCGGACTTGTGCTCTCACCGAATCCCACTCGAGGGTTTCCGGTTTGAGATCACGACGACTCGAGAAGTCGATAACCGGAAGGGAAAGAGGAGATTGGGTTTTCGAACTTATCCTCATTAGCTTTTAAGAATTAAGAGTGTGGTTTGTGTTTGTGTTCTGTGAATACTTCGAAGACTCGGTTGGTTATTATATACGAGAAAGTCAATGTGTCTTCACATGAGTTTGGTCTTCTTTTTAGTATTTTTTAAAGATTGATGTTTATGATTTTCACACATATTACACAATAATTCATCTTGTAAAACTAAATGCATTAATTAAAGTGCAAAATATCAATCTTTAAGCCAACTTTTTTTTCTTCGCTTAGTGATTATACAAAGTTCAAATAGCATTTTTCGAAATTACTGAAATTTGCACTGTAAAAGGTAAAGTATCAAATCTACAACTTTCTACACTTTATGGTTTGGTATACCGTATACTTGTTGTTTTATGATATTATTTATATGGAAAGTATATTTCTAATACATTGGATGATTCCAGAAATACACATGCAGTGCTAATTTTCTTTTTTGGTAGTATAGATATCGTCATTAATTCAAAAAAATGTTATCTTATATACTTTCTTACTGAACTCAACTCGAATATAAACAGACCAAATTCATATCACATTGATTCCGTGCCAATTTGTTCAACGATAGTCAATGTTTCTTGAGGCCTTCTAATCGTTTCTCATTACTTTCTATAATCAGATGTAATATTTGGGATATATGCTAAACATATGAGATAATTAGGCTATACTTATAAGTTACAAGTTTTGGTTATCTTTAAATATATGTGCAAACAATTTCTCATCATTTACTTGTTTAGATCCAGCATGGTAAATCCAACTGAACCGCCCAACGAAGAATAAAAAAAAGACTAATGACGTTTACCTAAACCCTAGTTAAATTATGATGTTCATATGCTATTTCACGTTTATTATCACATATACAGAACCATAAATAATTCGTTAGTCTTGTACTCTTGTTTATATTATCTTCACGGTCATTATCATATATACAAATAATTCGTTAGTCTTGTTTATATTTTTTAGTTTCAGCACCTTTCGTATACCATATACGGGCTATATTAATCAATCTTCCACATGCCGCCAAATATATATATATATATATTTATAAAATCATACACTTTTATAATAACAACGTGATATGTAATGTAAGTATTCTAATAAATTGACAATCGTTTCATATATAATACACATTTATTATGTATTAACGGACGCTTATACTCTTTGAACATGAAATGAAATGTGAAGTTTCTAAAAAGATTCGCTATTTAACTTTTCGTTAAATCGATCTGGTTGTTAGTCTATCAATTTCAAATCTTATAATATTATATATTACAATTGAAAAATGAATAGAAAATACGTGTTGCACTATATATATAGATGATCATCTAATTATTTATAGTCCTTATTAGAAGCTAGAGTTAAAACTATACAAAATTTATAAAAGTAAAACTTAATCCGAAGACACGTTGAGAGAAAACAAAGCAAAAAAATTCAAAAACATGAAAAATGATATGTGTTAAAATCAGAGTTAGTTTTTTTCCAACCACTTATATATTTGGTTTGAATTCGCATGTTACATATATTGGTTTTGGTCTAATGTTTATATATAAAGACATGGCAAAGTAAAGGTAACAAAAGGTTCAAATAATGAAAAAAAAAAGTAGAGGTAGCAACAAACCAACTAGAGAGCAAATGAACAAGTGCGAGTGATCATTACATGGGACATGGTTTTATTTATTTTGCAAGGCATCATAAATGTTTAAAGGGCACAGTAAGTCTTGAGACTAGATAGATCTCTCCCCTTGGTATTTGTGTTGGTGAATTTCAAGTAAGCCTGAAAATCAAAAGGCTTATAGAGACGAGGATGTTCATCATCAACTATCTCCTCAGGCGCATTTATGATCAGTCCTTCTTTAGGTGGCAAGAACAGTCCAGCCACATACCGATCTTTCTTTCCGGTTATAACCACACGGTGAAGCGGAGGAAACACCCCACCATTCAACAGTAGCTGCAAAGCCCATATTATATATAAGTTGATCACATAATTAAAGAGTATAAAAGAATGAAACTTGAGACTCAAGGAAGCTTAATTGTAATTACATGAAGAGAAGCTCCGGCTATAACAAGGAAAGAAGAGTCTTGAGATGGCTTAGCTTTGATCCACTCTTCACCGTCTTTGGTTTTAATCTTCAAGCCATCTACTACATCGTTCTGGCAAAGTATTGTGAGGAACTGTCTATCGATATGAGGTTCAAAACCTAGATTCCCCTCTGTGTTATCATTGTCAACTCCTTTGTATTTAATTAGTTGAAGGTGGTTCTTTGCTGAGTTAAGATGTTCCTCGATGTATTTCTCGAGCCCAAAACTCTCCATGGTCATTGCCCTCACCTTCACGTTTAGTTCTATCAACTTCTCCACAAACGACTGGACATTCTTGCTGAATATATATTGGCATATCTTAGTGCTTTATAATCGATACTTCTGTTTTGACATTTCTAAATTATTAAAACTAATACCATATACGTATACAAACGGATCAAACCAAATATGATTATGTAAATGTCCATGCGAAAAATGTTTAAATTCTGATAGGACTTGAATGTTAGTTCTTCGAGTTGTTTTTGGTTTCAGTATTTGAAAAGTTCCATTTGATTACCCTTCAAGATTTTACAAAAGTAGTTTCCGGCCCTAAAAGTTCGGAAATCTAGTTTTTTTTTTAATGTGGGGTGTTTCTCATTAAAAAAACTATAAACCTGTTATTGAATTTAATTTCTCATAAATCTTTTTTTTCTAGTGAGATCAAAAATTAAAATCTTCACGTTTCATTTGATTACCAATCTTTTTCCACTTGTAAGTTGTGTTCTTTTTTCGAAAATATTGTTATCAATTTTTGTTTACATGCGTAATGACAGCATTAGCACCAAAATTAATTATATATTCTAGTCGAAAATATTTAAACAAAACTCAATTTAGTTCTTTATATGTTTAAAGTTTCCATATACTTTTTTATTATATATAAAAAAATTGTGAACTATTAATATTACTAGAATTCCATTATTTATTTTAGTAATTTTTAAATATAAAACAAAAGCTAAAATTTTAATTTTAATTATTAAAACTATACTTAAAAACCAAATACTATACAAAATACCATTCATCTTTGTGAAGAAACGTAAATCTTCAAGTAAAAAAAAAAATACAAAACAAAAGCCAAAAACTATTCTAAAAACTACAATGGCCTTTTTTTTTTTTTTTTTTTTTTAAAGTGACATAAAATAGAACTGTAAAAGAAGGGAACCTGAAGGTGATGTTGCCTTGAGGCCAAAGCTTGTGAGTCAATTCATCGACAACCTCAGGACTATCTACACCGTAAAAGCCCATACCTTCGTATAAAGGCATAGTCGGAATCGTCAAGTATCCTTTGTATATTAGTTTGTCTGACTTTGTGCTCAGTTTTGTCTCCAATGGTAAATTAAAAACATCCTCCGAGGCCTTGAAAACAGCCTTCCTTAGCTCCACGGAAGCTCCATCGAACATGGCCTCGAAACATCCGTACTCTTCTAAGGCTTTTCGGACTCGGGCTCTCACTTAGTCCCACTCTGGTGTTGCCGGTTTGAGATCTCGACTAGAGAAGTCGATGACCGGGAGAGAAAGGGGAAATTGGGTTTTTGAACCTATCGTCATTGTTTATTCTTCTTCTATAGAATCGATATTGTAGTTGATGTTTGCACTTAATACTTTTGAAAGTGTGTGTAGCCTTAATGAAAGTATTAAAGTGTTTACTATACTTAAGTATATTAAAGGACTCCGACCATGTGCGTGTGAGTAAGCTAATCATGGCTTCATTGTTATATATCAAGAGAAAGTCGAGGTGTTACCTAATCAATTAATACTTAATAGTCTAATTCACATGTCATGATCCATGGATCCTGCTAAAAATATACAATTAGTAGTGTATTAGGTAAAAACTAAGTAGTAATGGAGAAATTGAAATTATGCAAATCGCAGTGATGTGATTCAGTTAACAAAATAGTGTGATTTTTTTCATTATTTTATAAGTGCTTTGAAAAGAGCCAATCTCATGTTGACTTGGTCAAAGTGTGAAAACAAATTATATTAATATATTTAATTTTTAACTGGTGAATTTCTTAAATGCTTATGAAAAGCTACACCAGAGTTTTTTATTCAGTTAATGGTGTTTTTAGACCACCTCCATCGGAAAATTTTATCCAGTATCTAAGTAAGAAAAAATTATTAAAAAAAAAAAGTTAGGAGAGAGAAAAACAACCGTTTTATGTTTAAACAATTTCATATACGTTTTTAAAAGATTTTAAAGAATGCTGGTGACACATACATACAAGTGGTTTAAAAAATCTAAAATTTAAAATATTAATATATTTTTTAAATTTTATTAAAATATTAATATACTTTTTTAAATACGTCTTTTACATCTTTTGCTGATGGAGATGAAGTTCAATCAAACAAAGCCTCGAAACATCGTATAAATGAGTCTGAGCTCTTTTCCTTTAATACTTGCGTGATCTCAGATTAACACCTTTGATGTCACGACTAATTTTTAATGTATTTGATATCAAATTTTCTTGCCATTTAACCAATTCGTTCGAGATCATGTTAAAGTTTCTTCTACTGATGTAATCAATGAAAAAGGAAAGAAATAATGGAATTTCTGAAAGTTAGGGTTCATGACAAGCTCAAGAGTCAAAGTAAAAGTAACAACAACAGATCCGGCTCAAGAGCAAATAAAAAAACTGCACAGTGAATCAGCAGTGATCAAAATGATACAAAGTTTTATTTATTCGCATGGCATCATAAATCTTTAAAGGGCACAATAAGTCTTGAGAGCAGATAGATCTCTTCTTGGTGTCTATGTAGGTAAACTTAAAGTAATCCTCAAAATTAAAAGGCTTATAGAGACGAGGATGTTCATCATCTATCATCTCCTGAGGCGCATTTATGATAAGTCCTTCTTTAGGACGCAAGAACAGTCCAGCCACATACCGATCTTTCTTTCCGGTTATAGCCGCACGGTGAAGCGGAGGATATACCGCACCATTCAACAGTACCTGCAAAATCCATTGTTTTATAATATATATATATATATATTGATCTCGTTATTAAAGATATTATAAAATGATGAAACTTGAGACTCAAGGAAACTTGATTTTACATGAAGAGAAGCTCCGGCCATAACAAGGAAAGAAGAGTCTTGAGAAGGCTTAGCTTTGATCCACTCTTCACCGTCTTTGGTTCTGATCTCCAAGCCGTCTACTACGTCGTTTTGACAGAGTATGGTGAGGTAATGTCTGTCGATGTGAGGGTCAATGCCTACATTCTCTTTTGTGTTATCGTCAAGTCCTTTGTATTTAAATAAATGAAAGCGGTTCTTCGCTGAGTTTAGATGCTCCTCCACGTATTTCTCGAGCCCAAAACTTTCCATGATCATTGTCCTCACATTCACGTTTAGTTCTACTAACTTCTCAGCAAACGATTGAACAGTGTTGCTGAAATGTATCGCAAAATCTTACTATTTATATAATCGATACTTCTGTTATAATGGACTAGTTTTAAATAAATGTAAAATTCTGATAATAGTTCAAAAAAGGGGAGAACCTGAAGGTGATGTTGCCTTGAGGCCAAATCTTGTGAGTCAAGTCATTGACAACCTCAGGATTATCTACACCGTCAAAACCCATGCCTTCGAATAAAGGCATAGCCGGAATCTGACCGGAGTATCCATTGTTACGATTCTCTGACTTTGCACTCAGTTTGGTCTCCAATGGTAAATCAAAAACTTCCTCTGAGGCCTCGAACACAGCCTTCCGTAGCTCCACTGAAGCTCCATCGAAAAAGGCCTCGAAACATCCGAAATCTTCAAGGGCTTTTCGGACTCGGGCTCTAACCGAGTCCCACTCGTGAGTTCCCGGTTTGAGGTTTGAAATCGAAAAGTCAATGACCGGGAGAGAAAGGGTTTTTGAAGTTATCGTCATTTTCTTTATCTTTAAGGTTTTAGAGTAAGTTTATCTTTTGTGTTCAGTGAAGATTTAAAGACCCGCATCGTTCTATAGGCAAAGAAAGTCAAATCTATGGAGTACAATCCCATTGTTTTTCACATGTCATGTACCAGAGGTCCTAATAAAATATACATTTAATAGTAATTAATTAGCAAGATAACAATGCAAAAATTGAAATTAGTTAAATGACAGTGATGTGCGTTATTAATATTAAATAGTGTTAAATTTTCGATTATGTTTGATTTTATTATTGAGTAAATTTAACACGCTAGTATTCTTTTAAATGTAATTTTTTTTTTTTTTTTGTAAAACATAAATATATTTTGGTGTTTACGTGAATAACATGTTACGGAAAAGCATTTCGCATCATATAACATACGTAGATATGAAAAATTACATCTTCCAAACAATATTTTATTATATCACCAGCTCACTCTAATTTTATTTATTTATAATAATTATGGTTATTTCTTAATTTGTATATATTTCGTTGTTATCGCCAAACAATTACTACAACGACTTTGGCTTGTTCCGAGACGAACACAATTTGTGTTTTGTCAAACATATGTTCTATTTATTTGAGGAAATGCCACTTTATAGTTTTATATTATAGATGTCTCCTTGTGTAAATTGTGGTATTCATTAAAATAAGGGGACAACATCGATCAAAGTGGAATATAGACAAAATAAAGAATGGTACACAGCACATGCTCACATGGCCAGCAATGGCTAACACTAAATAAAAATTACTCGGTTCGTTCTCAATTGGTGCACCCACCCGAAGATAAGACGATATATATAAATCATGTAATTTTTGTTGTCATCCAGCGAGCCGTAAACGTGGGCACTATCCAATATTCCGATATAGCCGGTTTACTCAAATTTAGTATACCTTTTTTACTTTGAAAGAATCCGAATAAAAGTGTGGATCAAAATCAACATCGAACTTTTTGGCTCATATGGAAAACATGAAATTAAAAAGTATTTCATAAGTTTGATAGAAAATTTCCCGGAGGAAGTAGTAACTCATGCAGAGAGAGGGTGAGGCTTCGGTTTGGTCGGACGAGAATGAGAAAAATCAATTACTCGGATACATATGTTAAAGGTGTAATTGTTAGTCATATAGATGAGTCATGGAAACATGATTTATTTGTGATGGGATCAGGAATCAGGATGATATTGTTTACAGACATGTGAGACGAGGAGCCTCATGGGAATCAAAAGTCAATGTCAAAGTTTATCTCTCTTCCAAGCTAATTAATCAACTATATACAACTAGTGGATTATACAATATAATCACACACCTATTGCCTTATTTAGATACATGTTTGCTATTCCATATTTGAACGTTTTTGTTTACTTTAATTATTTAGGTGCTACATTATCCTGCGTAAGATCAAAGTTATTCAATTATTGTTATGGTTTAGATATTTGAACCGCACATGGACATAGGAGGGTCATTTTGATTAGTAATGTTTGTTTGGTCTTTAAACATAACAAATTTTAAATATCCCTAAAATATTATTGTAGCTCAGAATATTCAATGATGAATGTACAATTTACGATTAGTTATAATTTGTGGACAAAAAAAAATCGTAATAGGCTCTAAGGTTTTGAATTTCAGCTGTGCGATTTCTTTTGTTTACAATTTTTAATCACTCGCAATATGAACATGACATGTATGACATTTATAATCTCTCAGGACTTCTCTTTAATATATAAGGGCCATGGATAGATAAAGTGAACATCCTTAATGGACCGTCTATATCAAAGCTTAAATATGATTTCGGCTCAAAAGACCAAACAAACATTACAAAGCAAGCCCAATCAACAATATCACTACAAAAGCCACTTTTTCCTCTAATCATTCTGTATTTGAATACATTTAAAGTCTTCAAGATCCACATCAACAAGTAATAAACTCAATAAAGATTGTAATCACTACTCCTTTTCATTCGCATCGTTTTAAAAATTCAAAAAGATCAAGAAAAAAATCATCAACAAACGTCATAGAGCCAACAAACAAACCACCTGCTCTCCATTAAAGAAGGAGAGGAAGAGGAGGAGCGTGGGTCCGACGTGGCATGTAGCCGTTATGGTCCCACTCCCACGAGCTGTTTCCATGCTTACGTGGCATGACTTTTCTATTTAAATTCTCTTCTCTCTCACAGCTATTTATTTATTTAAAATATACTAATATAGAAATAATAAAAAAAGGTACTGGTCGTCGTAAACACACAGAAAATCCGACCGTTGTTTGAGTTTATCTTCTTCTTCTTGTCCGAAACAGAACTCAAGAGTCCCCAAAAGGCTTTTTTTCTTTTTGTTGCTCTCTCTTACGATCAAACACAAAATCTAGAAAGAAACGGTTGATTTTTCTCTCTATTAGTGAGGACGATGTTGGGCGAATATGGTATAACGGAGGAAGACATGGTTATCGAGGAAGCTCAGGGATACCCGAGAGCTTACGCAAAGATCTGTCGCGATATTGATTCTTCTCCGTTCAGAAATGGCCCTCCTTTTACCTTCATGCCATACATTCTTCAGCAGAATGAGGTAACTTTTTTTGGAACATCTGATCTACATTTTCAATTCTATTGAAATTTGAATCTTGAAATTGGAGTTGTGTTTTTCTCTGTAATGACATAAAGTTACTGTTTTTGATATGTCCTCAAGAGCTTGAGATGCAGAGAAGTAGATCAGATGTTCCCTGTAATAGATCCGAAAGCGAGACAAACAACGAAGCCGAAGATCTTCCTCAGTCTCCTGTGGAAACAACTTAATCATCTAGGGTAAGGACTTGGTCTAAATTTCTAATCACACAATTAAAATGTCATTTCTAACACTGGAGTCAATTCAGATTCTTATGTGCTTTTTGATTTTGGTTTTGTTTGTAGTAATGCCGGGTTTGATCCGGCTGTTATTCGGATAGATCCATATGGGAATGTTCTTTACTTCCATGCTGATTCAGCTTCTCCTCTTGCTTGGGGCTTTGATCATTGGTTCCCTTGCTCAAGTACACACACATCCTCAAATCTCTTCCTTTTATTTTAAGATATAGATTAGAGTTTCTGTTTTGTTGTCTGATTGATTAAAGCTTTTTTTCTGTCTTTTTGAAAACCTTTAGGAGGAGGTTTAACAGTACCAAGCAACCTAAGGTTAGTGCAATGGCAGGCACGCAAGAACAAGAAGGACAAACTTGAGTTCCTAGTACCATGGTGGGATCTTCAAGTTGGGATTTCAGTGAATCAATTCTTGTCTATTTTTGCTGCTTCAAGCTCTGATTTCAGGTACACTTAACAATCCTTGTTTATATAAATATATGATATGCCTTTTTCTACTTGATGAAACATCTTTCTCAAATGCAAGTTTTGGTATTCAACAGGAGGAGAGCGTTTTCATTCTTGTTCAAAGAAGGCGAAAGCGAGGAACTTAACGGTTCACAAATGGTTGAATCACACCATTTCCCACAGCATTTCGTCGAATCAAAAGAAAAATATGGCCTTGCATCTGCTGCAGTTGTTGTTTCTAGAAGAGATCCTTATGATCCTTCACTAGTCTTGAGATCACTCGATTACAATCGCCAAACACCTTGTTAGTAAACTACTTACTACTCAGCTTTTTGGTTACAGATTGATAAGATAAATCCTCATTACTCTATATTACAGTACTGAATCATATTCATTTTATACTGCAGCAAGGAAGATGAGACTCGGTGCAACGAAAGAGAACGAGACTCCGGATCTGATGAAAAATCCGTATCAGGCCATTGTTGCAGCTAGGGACTCACTGAGACACCGAGAGGAAGCGCAGAATATGAGAGTCGAGATGAACAAGTTAGATGATGAAATGAATGATTTGAAAAGAAAAAACAGCGAAGAGCAGGTTAGCATCCAGGAGCTGGAGAGCGAGCTGATTAAGAGAAGAAGAAGAGCTGAAAAGTGCAGGAGATTGGCAGAAGCTCAATGCTCGTATAGGAATACACTCGAGAAGATGATCCGTGACGCTATGCACCAGTAAGAGATCTTCATACTAATGATTTCATTTCGATATGTTTTAGCTCTCAGTGTTCTTTAATTTTGTTTGTTTGTTTGTAGGAGTGTTGTGTATAAGGAACAGGTGAGGCTAAACCAGGCTGCGAGTAGCGCACTTATGGCGAGGTTAGAGGCGCAGAAGGCGATTTGTGATGGTTCAGAGAAAGAACTTCACAAGAAGTTTAAAGAAAGAGAGGAGCTGGAGAATCAAGTGAGGCCTGAAATGGAAAAAGCAAGGAAAAGATCCAGATTTTTGCTGAGTGATGAAGGTGATGACTTGTTGCTAGACGACAGAGACAGGAAGTTATCTTTGTATCTTCCTGGAACAAGTGAAGATATGTCGTTACACAAGGAGCTAAGAGTGTACCTTGAAGAAGAGCATAAAGCAGCAGTTTCGGAGGCTGAAACTCAGAAACATGGGGAAATAGAGGAAGAGGAGCAGAAGAATTCAGAGAAGTCTCTTGTTGCGTTAGAAGATAGGAAGAAACCTGTTGAAGAAAAGCTAGATGTAGAAGAAGGGAAGCGAGGCAGCAGCAGAAGCTTCAGAGCGTTTCCTGTTATCAAGGAACCCGAGAGCGAGGAAGATGAGGAGAGCAGGAGAGAGCGGGGGAAAGGAAATGTTGAGAAATGGCTTCACATTCTGCTGGAGAACAACGGCAAAAGCAACCCCCAGGATCTTCAAACCGAAAAAAGCAAGAAGATTGATGAAATGATTGAGAAGCTGGACCACAAGTTCCCTCTGCTTGAAAAGGTTGAGGAAGAAGAAGTGGTGGAGTTGCAACCGCAGGCTGAGGATGCAAACAACAACAACACGAACAAGGTGGAAGCAAGAACTGAAAGCTCACGTAGAAGCAGAATGAGTTTTGATCTGAAGAACACACCAGAGAAGAGTGGCAGAGACAAAGTGGTGAAGAGATCAGAAAGTGCTAGAGCTTTCAGAAGGATTCCATCATCTCCATCACTCCTCTTCGGGATGAAAAAGGGAATCGACAGCATAAGGAAGAAGCCTGTGGTTTCAGGTCACGACGATGAGAACGAGTATCTCGTTAAGAACAACTTCATCAAGTCATCTCTCCAAACAATCAAACGAGCTGTCAAATTTTAGACACCGCATCTTCTTCATAATATGATGCATTTGTTTTAGCGTGTGATTCATCGTTTGTGTATAAAATAAAATAAAAAGACTTCCCTCACTGTTGCTCCCCCATTTGTAATAATAACAGCTTGTTGTGTTGTTTTCCATTAATGCAAAATTAAGACATAGATTTTCTCCACCTTGAAGGTGTTGTTCTTCCTTTAACAAGCCTTGTCTTCATGTTACCAGGAGTCCGAGGCTCAAATCCTTCACCATTCTCACCTGATTCTTCCTCACCGTTCGCCATCTTTTCAACGTTAACACTTCCTCTAATCGAGGGTACTAAACCGAGCCTCTTCCACCGGAAAAACCCACCTTTACTGCCACCGCCACTCTTCTTCTCCATAAGCCTCTCCATCTGCAAATGCATAGCACCGCACTCGCTCTGCAGCCTCACCACATCCTCTTTAAGCCTTCTGATCTCTGCTTGCTGAACATTCATCTCGCGTTTAGACAAGCACCGAGCTGCAGAGCCTGGCTCGAAGTAGTGTGAGCCAGAAGGGTTCGTTGGGCTCCTCGTCGTGCTGCATATCGAGCTTCCACTCCAGTCCATGTGACGGCTTAGCTTCGTCTGCTCGGTGAACAACACCCTGATGATTGCTCTCACCGGTAAACGATCGTTCTGAGCCGCGTGGAGAGCTGCTTCCGGTGATAGCTTCCTGCTATCAATAAGTCTGCAAAGTTCCTTCCTTTCTTGCTTCAACAACAGAGGATGAGCCTGAAATTTGAAATCTTTAATTTTTAGTCTTAAAAGGATTCAAATTTATAAGCTTTGTTAGTATTAGTATTACCTTGAGATATGTATCAATGGCGCGGTACAGGCCATCCTCTGTGGTACGAGCATGGCTAGGCAGAGCTTCGATTAGAGAAACGAACTCCGGGAGAGTCAAACCACCGTCAATGGCGGCTTCAGCGAGGTAAGAGTCAACAAGCTTCGCCACTTTCACGAGAGACGCGCCGGTTTTAACACCTTCAATGTCCAATCCGGCGAATTTCTTGACGAGACGCGTCACGAGCTCAACGTCGAGCAACGTCCCGCACGTGTGGCTGAAGGAAGGTATCATGAGCTCCTTGAGCGAGGCTTGGTCCAGCTGCCAAGATACTCTGTTTTCAAGCTCCGTTAAGTAACTCGGATTTGCTCCGACCATATTCGCCGTCCTGAGGAGACGGAGGAGGAAATTGCAGGGAACGGAGTCTTTCTCCGGCGGGAGGATTCCGATTAGGGTCTCGACGAAAAACCGCTTCTTCATTACAGACGCCGTGACGCTCTCCTGGTGTGGCGGTGGGTCATTGCGGTTTTTCGATTCCGTGGCGGAGGAGACATTTCCGGCGAGATCAGGGAGCCACTTGGAAGCGTAGTGAGCGATGATGGAGCCGATGAGGTCAGGTCGGATTCCTTTGGATTTGATTCCGGTGATGGTTTTGACGAAGTAGTTCATGTCTTGGATACAAGCGTCGTCGAACCAAGAGTAGTACTCCATATCTCCGGCGAAGGCCACATGGTGGTGGTGATGCGACGGCTGATTAGCGAAGATGGTGACTGGTTCAGGCGAAGGCGTTCTCTTCATTACGTTCGGCTTTTCTTTTCACCGTGAGCTCGGAGTTTAGTGTAGTAGGATGGTTTTTTATATATATAGAAAGCAAAACTGATTGGTCTTTTACGTTTTCCTATGATTTTTGCTCCAAAAGCTCATTAGAGAGCATAATCATGACTTGGCGCAAATTTCCAAAAGAAAGAACAAACTGTTTTGGATTTCTTATTCATTCTCGTGAATATATATATGATGCATATTCATTCACTATTGTGTATTACATCCCAGCTAAGACCCTAACAGTAACCCGCAATCAAAATCAAACATTTTCTCTGGTTATAAAATATTTGTTGTCGGCAGTAAAAGTATATAGTTCACAGAATTGACTACAAGGTAAATTTTTATCATACTTTTGTAAGATTTTCGTAAAATAAAACACTGTTCGATTATAATATAAACAGTCTTTGAGAGTTTATATCAAACATATGAATATTAAAAAGATTTTCATAATGCCAAATGGCTGCTTCTGTGGAATAATTTATAGTCTATATTATTAGCTCTTCTACCTGTATAGTATTTGACATATTATATATATGGTAAGGTTTTATTCAGAGATGACATGGATGATGATACTAATGTTAGAGGATTGAGAGGCTGTGGAGGAAGATAGAGATAAGAGAAAGATGAAGACAAACCCTCTTGGTTTGCCAAATACTATATTTTATATAAAAACTATTATTACAAAGGGAATATTAATCAATGCATAGACATGTCGTATTCTCTGCAATGCAATGTTAATGGTAATTGTATTCTAGTGGCCTTGATTATTGGTGGATATACGATATACCATTTTTTTTACAGTATTAGTTAGATTTCGACTGTAAACTCCCAACGTTATCGTTTATAGTCTAAGTTTGCATTTCACATAAAGTTATGGTTTAAGTTTGGTTTTGGTGTACAACAAGAAATACTCCAAACAGCAACTCTTTTGTGTGAAAAGAGGTTTCAACAATTTATAACATACGATGTACATTCATGATGAATGACAGTATAAGAAACTAACGAGATAAGATTATATATGTATGTAGCTTAAAAAAGACAGTGCTTTGGAAAAGACAAAAGAATCATAGTCTCTCTCTGTTTCGATCTTTTGTAATATCCTTCTCTCCATGTGGTTTTGTAGATGAAACGACAACGAATGGTCCCGTTTTAGAATATCGGTGACCATGCCGTTTGTCTTATCACAGCCATACGTACATGCCAAAAATAAGATTCTCTCTCTAGCTTTTCTTTTTGTTCCCACTGCACACTCACGTCACATCACGAGCGTGATGACACACACGAGCCGGTTTAGCCCATTGAAGGCTCATACCAAACCCCACATACAGATATGGGCATATGGGCTTGGCTGTTCTTTGGGTTCTGACTCACCTTTGACTAACTCAACAAGATTGATGATACTAATACCATAAGCAACCACTTAAGTGGCAAGATACTGAATGTAATTTATTTAATCTATTGTATCCTTCAATACAACCTAAGGAAAATGAACAAAGAGAACACGTTTTGGGGAAAAACAAGTTGGAACTGAGATTGTAGTGGTATGATTTTGCACAGATGAACAAAAGTATTAAGGATAAAAGAGTCACATAAGCTTACAAGTGTTTTTGTCTTTAGAAGTAAGTGAACAGCTTATGATGAACAAGTCTGAAGTATCTATACTAACATAACATGGTTTTGACTCAACCAAAGGTTTTCTCACTGCTATAGCACATGTAAACGAACCCATCTTCGTCTTTGTAAGTTTCGTAGATGGAATCCATTAGAGCAGCTGCAGTGAGACAGAGAGTAAACAGAAACACATCAAACAAGTTTTGCCTAGAGAGGAGCAAAAACCGAGTCGCAGAAACTCACCTGTTTGAGGCAGAGTGTTGTTCACGAACACGAACAAGGCTTTACCAGGAGACAAGTGCAGTCTAGCACTCAAGATGTAGATGAATTGGCCAACGGACATATCTCTTGGAACCAGAAACCTAACATTTGAAAGACAACTCCTCGGATCATCTCTTTCCAAAGAACATTCTCATAAACATATTGAAACTATTCTGGAAATGAATCGGATATTTAAATCCTAAACATGGGCATGACTACTTTGAAGCTCTTTCAGCTAAAGTGGACCAGAATCAAATTAGATTATAATCAAAAACAAGTCATGAAAATACAAACTTATGATGAAATTCTTTTTACTTTTTTTTCTCGATTTCAGGCAGATCGGTTTTGCAATACTTCTCAGCAATCACCTGCAACACATCATAGAAAAGAAAACATTTGAGTTCCAATAATTTCAAGAGTGTTAACTGAATGAGATATTAACAAAATTAAATCTTCTTGTTTAGATCAGATATTTGAATAGAAGATTCGAATTGAGCAGGAAAAGACTTACTGGAATCCGAGTAGGGTACTTGGCGATTATCTCCCTCGATTCCGCGAGCCTTTCATCTGCCAAAAAAAAAAAAAAAAAGAGATAAGGTGGTTGAGTATTTCAATTTTCAATCAATCAGAAACCATAAGCAGATCGAATCAGTGAAATAGCCACGAACCCAAAGTCAATTCGTCCTTGAAAGATTTCATTTTCGACTAGACCCACCGCAGATTTCTTCGTCGTGTGTTTTTCCCCCTTTCTCAAAAGAGACGAAGTGAGTCTGTGACGAACGCAGAGGAAATATTAGTACAAACGAATCATAGGGTTAATTAATACATTACTGTTACCTAAACAAATAGCGGGGATAGCTCAGTTGGGAGAGCGTCAGACTGAAGATCTGAAGGTCGCGTGTTCGATCCACGCTCACCGCATATTTTGATTTTTTTTTTTAAAGTTTTTAGATATGTAATTGGCTCGGTCTGATTAAGCATATTACATTCTAAATCATTAGAATGTCGGCCGAAATATGGGCCTTGTAAAGTAATATAGCAGCCCAGTTCTTGACAATCTCTTCTTCCAAGACTCGTGAACAACTGGTATCGGATGTCATCGTTTTGTTTCCTTAGTGTTGAACTCAATTGCCCCACTCACTTGTAAAACCATACACAAACTTCTTAAACTGAGAAAACTTATTTGAAAGGAAAACGAATAATCTTGTTTCTTATAACCTAAGCTTGGAAGCAATCAGAAGAAACACTTAGCAGCTCAATACACAGGACAAATTATAGTCATTCGTCAAGTAGAACAGAGACTGGAGACTTTCTAAATGGATCAACCTGAGCCAGTTTCGCAGCAAGAGTCCTATTCGGGAACACATTATCTACCTTCATCCTCTCACTCATCCCATAAGCAGGAGCTTTGGCGTTGATATAAGCCATGAGAAGTGTTTCATACTGCATAAGCTGAGCTGCATAGCTTGCCCTCTTCATCCTCAGGAAAACCTTCTCCGCGTTATGAACATCGCCTCTCTTCGCGTATTCCTCAAGGATCACCATGTAAGAGATGAACAAAGGCCTCGTCTTATTATCCTTTGTCGATTTGTTCAATATCAACTCAGCTTTTCCAACTTCTCCTGCTTTGATGTAGAGCTTCACAAGTGCGTGCCATGTCGAGGGCCCGATCTTAATCCCGGCGTTCGCCACTCGTTTGACCAGGTTCTTGCCTTTCGCTAGCATCTTGTTCTCAGTGTATATCTCCATGAGGGCAAAATATGGCAGCATAGGGACAAGTTTGTATCTCTCCACAAGTTTATCGAACACCGCCTCTGCTTCTTCGATTTCCTTCAGCTTTCCCCATGCTTTAATGGCAGCGATGCAATTATCATACCTCAGCGTCTGTTCAACAAACTTACTCAGTCTTCTCACATTCTCCTTGTCTCCCATGTCTGCATAAAGAGGGAGTAATGAACGGCACACCCATGGAGTTTGTTTCAAGCCTTTCCCTTCGATTTCCTTCATAACTTCTTCCGCTCGCTCCTTAAGCCCTGCTCTTATGTAGTACCTAGCCAAGGTAGCTTGTATCTCTGGATCTAGCTCAATACCTTCTTCCTTCATCGTCTCCACGATCTTGTCCATTCCAGTTATGTCCCCGCACAAACCTTTACTGTTGATCAAAAACTGATAGGTGCCGCGAGTGGGCTTGATGTTCTCTCTCTCCATCAGAGACAAAACATCAGGTATCTTCTTCCTGTCATGCTTACTGTAGAGGAGAAGCAGCTGGTTGCAAGCAAACACGCTTGTTGGAAATTTCAGCTCTCTCATTTTGTTAAAAAGCTCTTCGGCTCTCTTCACATGAAGCTTAAGTACACAATTCGCAAGCAGGGTTCTGTATACTACTTCTCCCCTGAAAGACTCTGGAATCTCCATCAAAAAGCTTTCAGCTTTTTGCAAGCTATGCACCTTAGCCACCAAATCCAACTGAGAAGCATAGTTTGCTTCTGTGAACTCAAACTTTGTATTAGCTCGCAACCACTCCCACAGCTGCAAAACCAAAGAAAAGGCATACAAATTTGAGGGGTTTGATAGACAAAAACAATAAAATGATGTGGCAAAATAAGAAGAAAAAAAAAGCTTACCTGCAAACACATAGCATAGGATTTGCGTTTACGCAGATTGTGAATAGCAAGAGAAACCTCTGCTTGACTCAAATCTTTTCCTTCTTTGACCCATACTTCAAGAACGTGTTTAACTGATTTATACGCAACAATGGAGTCATACAACTCGCAGCGGACTCTTTTCGTTTTCGTTTCCCCTTTGTTTGAATGCTCTACTTCCGTTTCGAGATCATCATCATCAGCGGCATCTACATGACTACCAAGCTCAGAATCGAATGAGGAATCATCTTCAACTACCTCTGGTACATCCTCAGAAACAGTTAGTGGCTCCTCTGGTTCAGATAGCTCATCTTCCTTTTCTTTCTCATCTACTTTGTCATTTGCATCAGCTACAGAAGAAAGCTTAGTGATGCCAATGAAGCGCGTAAACACATCTCTTGCGGAATACCGTCTGATTAAACCTCTGGATTCATTATAAATCAATCCAGATGAACTGAAAGCAATTCCTTTGTCACCGATTGATACTTGTAGTTTATTGACCGCACCAAACGAAGAAGCCGCAAGGTTAAGTCTTCGACTCCTAAAAAAACACAATTAAGCAAAAGCAAAACCTTTACAATCCAAATAAACACTAAAAAGGAACAAACCCCCTTAGAGAGATCGATCTAAAATCAGTGAATTTTAAACAAAACCCAGAACCCAGAATCTCAAATTAAGACGCTTTTTTACCTTCGCAGAATCTTCGAAATCGAATACATAACTTGCTTCCTACCAAATGAGCTCAAGACCCTGAGAAACAATTCGACACTGGTTAGTATCAGCAGAGCAAAAATCCATTTCTCGTAGAGTAAACACGAACGATAAAGAGAAAAATTCGGCGAATTTAAACATCAAAAATGGAGCTGATACAGTAAACGCAGAAATGGAGACGACGTATGTGAGAGAGACGCTTACGATTTGAGAGAGTTTTTTTTTCCGCCGGAGGGAAGTGATCGGAACACGACAGAAAAAACTTTAGGGTTTAATGCGAGCTAGCCTGCGAGGGTTTATCAGTGCCAAAAGGAACTTCCTCGCATCCTTCTCCAAACGTGTGAGGTGGTTAAAGGGTATAAATGGTAAAATGGCAAAATTCAATAAGGGCACGTTTGGTGCCAAATCTTATACATAAACGCACTGTAATAATGTTTGAATATGTGTACATCGCTTTTTATCCGAGCAACAATAAATGATATTTGTTGAAAAATGCATTAAATAATCCCAACAGAGATCATGCTTGTACCAAATTATGTGTATGAAAATTTAGGAGTATTTTTATCCTGCTCAACACAAGATTTTAGGATTTTTTTTATTATAAAAAAAGCTATAAATATATTCCACACAGAATATCTAAAAGCTACAAGGCTAAAAGGAAAAATAATTATTTATTACGACAGCCTAAATTTACAGCTACGGGCGATAGGGTAATAAAGTAATAATAGGCTAGTAAATTAAGTAAGTATGAATTAAAAGATTTGAAAAGAAAGAAAGTGAGAGTTTAATTAAAGTTTTATAAAAAAAAGGAAATTTGAAAAATCGCCTTAAGTATCATCTTCCAAGTTTGTGTTTGTTTGATGGACATAGAAGTGAGTCACATAGTAAACAAAGTCGTCAACAGGAGGATAAAACTTACTAATTACAGTAATTAATTCTTAATTAAGCAATTCCAGAAATTTCCATGAAGCATCGTCCGTTTCCTCAAGTCACTTTTTTTCTCTCTTCTCAGTACATACAGAAACCTCAGAAACCCCTTTACATGTTTGCTCTCTCCTCGTCTCCTCCTGCAAACCCCTCGTCGCTGTGAAAGCTCCTCTCCGGTGACCTAAAATCGCCGGAATAACGGTTCCCGAAGCTTAGCTGACTACTTTTCACGTCGATTGCACTGCATTTTCCGGGATTGTCCCTTGATCGGACGACGATAAACAGCTTACCAGCTTCCGGTGAGCTTGCTCCTCTCTTCTCTGGTCTTGAAATCGTCGTAGGTTTTTGGATTTTAAGAAACTTTTAGCTGCTTCTGTAGTACGACGCGACGCTTTTACGGATTTCTCACTGTTCCATCTCCTTGCACGCTTTCTGCTTTCCTATAAGAGATTCTAGGTCGAATCCCACTCTAATCGAGCTGGCTTGATTACACATTGACCACCTTCAAATTCTTTGACACTGTAACCTTAGAGAGTGGTAGAATCTGTTTCTGGGTATTGCTCAAGCGATCAAGGTGGCTAGGTTTTTGTTGGATGAAATGTTCACTTGTAATCATTTTGCAAAAAACGCTGCTTTTGACATTTGTTCTCTTGAGGTTTTCTTCGGCTGCTTCAATTGTTTCCTTATACTGTCCTGCTTTAACCAAGTGGCTTGCTTTAAGAGTCCAAATCTCGAAGGATGATGAACTTATCCCATGGTCTTACAAGTTACAACACACTCTAATTTTGTTTTATCTTCTTCTCCCTTATACAGTTTGGGAATAGATTCCTCTAGCTAAGTGGATTCTCAATGTTTGCGAGTGGAGAAGGAGACCCTGATTTTAAGTGGGGTGTTGAGAAAGCTGTGGGACGGACAGATTCAAAGGTCCATTTCTATGAATCATTTACCTATGACGGCATCGAGTACCGGCTCTTTGACTGTGTTTGTTTCCAAGTACTTGGTCAATGCGAGACTTCAATCGGGAAGCTTATCAGGATGTATGAGACACCAGCTGGTGAGAAGAAAGTTAAGGTCCTTTGGTTTTTTCGACCTGTTGAGATTCGCAGATTCTTGAGAGGATATGAGCCACTGTTTGATGAGTTGTTTCTGGCTTGTGGTGATGACGTTGGGGTTTACAATATCAACGGCGTGGTAAGTTTGCTGGTTTTTCTTTCTTCTTTTCTTCGTCTTCTTAAACTGAACCGGAATAGTAAATTCTGAGTTAATAGATATGTTTGAATTCTCTTGTTATGCTTGTCCAGGATGCAATCATTGGGAAATGCAATGTTGTATGCGTCTCAGATGATCCGAGAAACCCACGACCAGCAAAAAGTGAGCTGAGGAACGCTCAATATATCTTCTCCCGCACCTTCGATACAAGACGGAAAATTATATCACAGGACTTTGCAGATGCAATAGCTGGAATTCGAGGTTTGGGTTCGAACAAAATCTTACAAAGCTTTGTTCTTCAACCTCTAATGCTCTTCAAATATGGCACTGATGGAGCTAATTTTACTTTCTACTGTCTCTAATAATGCAGTGGAGAAGTTCTTCAACAAGGTAAGAGCTAATCAGCCTGTAAAACGTCTAAACTCAAACGCAGCTACCGGTTCCAGGCCTTCCCCAGTGAAATCTTTTCGTCCAGAGTCAACGAGGTCAGGAAAAAACGATAATAGAGATGGAAAGTTCACGAGTAGAACAAGCCCGGTAAAGAAAGGTTGATTCTTTTACCCATTTGTTCTGGCCTCCTATGTCATTGATACTTGTGAAATGGACAGACCGGATTGACACTAACCTTTCTTTTGCAAGACTTGTTTCGGAAGGACCTTGCTGATCAAGGACATGTGAAGAAGTACCCTCCTGTCAGTACTGATATCACGTCAAGAGGTCTGAAAACCAAAACCAGAGCATTTGGGAGTAGACTTGCTTCAGGTTCATCTCTCGATCCCAGGCTTTCTAAAAGGAGGAGGGTTAACAGTCCAGAAATAGATTATTCAGGCCCTGAATCAGGAGAAAAGAGATCCATCAAAAATCCTCCTCTTGTAGACAAAGGTCCAAGTCAGAACATTGTAAGTACCATCTCTACTTCTGTGGACTAATTTTTTTGTTGAGCATAGCACAAAATTTTTTCATAGTTTGTATTAGATAGTATTCACCATTCTCTTATGACATTTGCAAATTATTTTCTCCTTTTATCTGCCATACAGGGTAAACACAGCTGGTTCAAGAAACTGGTAAGTTCTCTGACGCCTATACCATGGCTTATCCTCTCATGTAGGCCAGCTTTATTACAATCATGTTTCTTTCGTCTAAGAAGAACATGAAGCAATTGATTCCCATAGCCAATTTTTTTCAAACTATCGTTTCATGACACTAAATCAGGCTATGGAAATACTACAGTTAGTTAAGATAATGTTAGTTCATGATTTGTCCTGGTTTAGGAAATAAATTGCTCTAAAAACACTTTGGTTACTTCATCTAACATTGTTATATATATATTTTCCCAGCCTTTTGAGGAAGAACTAAAAGAAGCTATAAGAATGAACAGGGTGCTCTTAATTGAAAACCTGGAACCATCACTCACATCGCTGGAGGTGGAGGTATGTGATCAATCGTTTCTGCATCCTAATCAATGTTGACAATGGAATTCTATCTATGTATGTTGATCAAAGACGCATGGTTTTTCTTTTTGTTGTGTTCAGGATGTTTGTAGGAAAGCTTTTAACGAAAGAGTTGATGCAGAGATGATCCCAGCAACCCTTGCGTCTAACCCAGATAATGGTATATCTTCTTTACACCTATCTTTTTGCGGTGTGTGGGCCCCAACATTATATGTAGAAGAAAGTAAGTGGCAATGACTGGATGTTCTAATCAGGGAAAGCTCTTGTGATCTTTCAAACCACAAGGGCAGCTGATAATGCCCTGTCGCGATTAACCGAAGGGTGCCTGATGTTATCTGACGAGAGGTATACTATCCCATGCTCTATCTCTCACAGAAAGTGAAAATTTCATCAATTATCTTTTGTCTCTTTTCTCTCTTATATGATCCTTGTGCAGGCCACTAGTGGGTAGCAGAAATGTCCCAAAGGAAGTCAGAGAATGTGAAAGATTTACTGGACATCTTCGCATGTTGGGTAAACCTCAGATGACGATTGAGAAGGCAAGTTGTTGCAATAGTCATTTTTGTTTTTACCTGAACGCACCCTCAAGTCCAAGAAAGCCATTATCTCACTGTCTTGTTCTACTAACCTTTTTTTTTTTACTCCAAAAGAGAAAGGCCGTTGCTACAGCACACTGCGCGCAGCCAAACCACGTTGTATACGAGATGGCGATTGAATGGCTCGCTCTTCAGGGAAAGTCAGAATTGGAGTGCAAGAGGTTATTCGAGGTCAGCTCTTTCTTCTCTTTTCACGCATCTTTTTCTTGTCCTTCTTTCCCAAGTCAATTTATCTTCTTTCATCATCCATTGTAGGAACAAGCCAAGGAAATGAACATCTTATGGAGTAAAGACCCTAAAAAAACCAGAGGATAGGAGCAAGATGCTATCTCTTCGTCGCCTCAACAGCATAGAAGATCACTTGTCGGATTTTGGTTTTAGTTTTAGTAATCTAGCTGATGCCAACAACCCCTTTTTGTATCTCTAGGTGGGCATTAACTTATACAATCCACTCGATGTTGATGCTAGTTTTGGATCTAGGACGTAGGGTACATATACAAACGACTCGGCAGGTTTTTCAAAGTGTATCCATCTTTGCAAATAACTAGTTATCAGTCAAGTCTCTTTTTGTGTTTTTGGTGTGGCTATATTCATATGGAACTAAACACCCAAAACGTTAATCAGAAGGAGAGAAACAAAGCCACATGCGGGTCCTTAACAAATTACACAATCCTAAGAGTTTCCCTACTACTAGTGTCTTAAGCATACACACGACTGTTACAAAACAAGGGTCCGAGAGACAGAGAAAGAGAAGGCTTATTCTTTGCCAGATTTGTTGATGAGAGACTTGTGAATGTGTGGAATAACTCCACCACCAGCAATAGTTCCTTTGATGAGAGTATCAAGCTCTTCGTCACCACGGATGGCGAGCTGCAAATGCCTCGGCGTGATACGCTTCACTTTCAGATCCTTGCTCGCGTTACCGGCCAGCTCCAAGACTTCCGCGGTTAGATACTCCAAAATGGCGGCTGTATAAACCGCCGCGGTTGCGCCGACGCGTCCGTGAGCGGTTGACCTTCCTTTCAACAGTCTATGGACTCTTCCAACTGGAAACTGCATGCGAGAGAGAGAGAGTGAGACACATGACAACGCCTTATTAACATCAACACAAAGGTATCTTCTGTCTCGGAAGCTAAAACATAAAGGTGTCAATAAACTCGTCAAAAAGCATCTACTTGTAAATTTTAAAGACATGGATAAAAAAAAAAAAAAAGCTTTTGAAGCTTTTAAGGACCAACCGCTTCTGAAGCAGATAATGACTTACTGAATCAACAGTATCATTAATTATGGATACTCTCTATTGACTCAATGCATTTATCGTCAAAATCTATGGACCATCTCCGAAATTAAAACAGAGGATAAACTCAACTCCATCTCTAGACTATTATCTAGCTCACAAAATTCAGACCTCGCAGATCCGTCACTTGCACGGTTCACAGAACCAAGAAAGGAGAGAGAGAGAGAGAGAGAGAGAGAGAGAGAGAGAGAGAGAGACCTGTAGACCAGCACGAGAAGAGCGAGTGGTGGGTTTCTTCTTGTCCTTGTCCTTTTCGTTGCCGGTGGGTTTCCCCATTATCAGCCCTTTCGCTCCTTTTCCGGACATTTTCCCGCCAAAAAAAGTATCACAGTCTTACTCGAAGAGAGAGAGTGTGGGAAAGATTGAAAGAGAGAGAGCGTGTGTGTGTGTGAGAGAGAGAGAGATCCGGACCAGATAATAAAAAGAGAAGTAAAGACGCAGAAGAATAAGTACAACTTGGATTGACTGTTTTACCCCTCGGCTTTGTAGCTTCAGTTGTCGCGTCAGGTCATATCGAAAGTCCGAAAAGCCCATGTCAAATTTACTCAATATACCCAAATTGGTCCGATTATATAGTTTACATTAAGACACACCAGCTACAATGAGTTGTGATAATGCTCGTTTCATCAATCAATCAATCAATCTCAGTTATACTTTAGTATCCTTATACTTCATTGAGTTTTGGTCGTTGATTCCTGATCTTGGACTCTTCATGTTCATCATCTTTCTCAAGCTTTCTCTTCAAATCCATCAGATCTTGATCACCAACCTTACCATCCATCTTCTTGTTCAAAGCATATGTTTCACCCATCCTCCTCTTGCACTCCTTGCTTGCCGAATCATGCAAAACCACTGCAACCAACAAAGTCAGAAACTATTGCAACAAAAAGACTTTCCCTTTTCTATAAATAAACAGTAAACCGATAGCTTTGACAGTTTTAGCTACTCCACACAACCATATTCACATCTTTCTAACATGCATATGTATAATACTAACTTGGCTTTGGGTAGTCCTTCCCAACTATGCACTTTGCTTTAGTTTGAACGCTCATTGGCGCTGTCCATGGCTCGTAAATATACTGCTTTGGCATATCTGAATCACAAAACTTATTAGCCAGTGAATGAGTAACCGGTATACAAACTTACCAGGATAATGGAACTTAAACCTTCAGTTACCTTTCAGTACCGGGAGAAAATGTCTGATGTACTTCCCATCAGGATCATACTTCTTTCCAAATGATACAGGAGAGTATATGCGGTTGTACTGAAACAAACCACCACAAAGCATCGGAATAGAATCTACGCATGACTGAAGAAACTTTGCAAACAAAACATTCATATGGTAAATATGATCACGAAAAGAAAAAGAAAAGAAACGAGACAATGCCTGGTAAAAGAAGGACGAGCATGATAACCACATCCAGTTCCCATTATTGATTGCCCAGTCCGAATCAATCAAAAGCCTCTCGAACACATCACGCCCTTGTTCCCAATGTATGAACTTAACACAAGAAACAATCACGCATGTCAGTGAATATAATTTGCTGAGGAAGAGAGTGTGAGAGAGAGAGAAGCTGTAATTGTAGAGGCAGCATTACCAGATCTCCACGAGTTAGAAAACAGGCTACACAATGACGTGCTAGATGGTGCATCCAACCCCATTTCCGAAGCTGTAAATTCCAGAGACAAGAACGATTCATGAATGATGCTTACAAAAAGGAAAGTTAAAAAGGCAGTCACTTTGACTAAAATCTAACCTGAACCATGATGGCATCAATCCAAGGGTATCCTGTTTTACCGTCCCTCCAAGCAGCCAACATATCATTATCCTCTTTCCATGGAATCTAGATTACACATGAAACAAAAGATTGGTCCAAACATTTGAAGTTATAGGAACTTGATTAGAGAAACTATACAGATGTTGTCATCTAGTTACCTGTTTGCAGATCCGGTTTCCCTTCATTTTGTCAAAGTTAGGGGTTCCAAATGCAGTGGTGTAGAAAAACTCTCGCCACAACAACTAGAGAAATAAATAAAAAGAGATCAACTTTCCGTAGTTGGGCAATGTAAAAGAAACTTTTAGTCATTGACTGACCTGTCCAAGTAGAGAAACTGGCGGCGATGTATGCTTTTTCACGTCCTTGTGAATACGTTGAAGGCATTGATAAAAGTACCTCGAAGAAAGGCATCCGAACTTCTCAAAAGGTCAGGATATATATAGACAGCAATGCAAGCAAATGTGGAGAGAAAAGCTTAAGCCGAAAAGTTATGTTCTGTGACTCACTTTCAAATAAGGTGACAAAACCGTAGTTGCAGGCTTCAAGAATGCAGATGGATCACCCTTTGGTTTCTCAAAGTTTGCCACCCATGCCTACACTACAAATGAAACCCATAAAGAAGATATAAATCTATCTAGTCAATGTACAAGTATCAATTCTAAAGTTTACAAGTTCTCCATAAGATATGTTTCCTTCAGTGACGGTACCTTGTCACTGATTGACTTGGTCAGACGTTTCAAGGCTTCCGATTCACCACCTCTAAAAGGAGTACATTCAGCCTAAAGACATTAACACGAGCATAAGTTTCTCAGATGGAAATGTTATAAGCTACTTGAAAGACAAGATCCATCGCTTAACTTGTTCATCGTCTCTGTAGCCAAGTTCATCAAGGGTTGGTACTTCAGAAACGCCAAGGTTTCCAACATCTTCAATCGGAGGAAGTGAAGAATAAGACATCACAAGTTCAGATTTAGCACATGAAGGCTCACCGGCAATCTTCAGAAATGACTGGTAACTCAAAGGTGGCTTTCCACCATTCTTACTTGCAAGAAAATACCAAAAACATATCAAGAATCTTTACAGTTCCATAAAAGGAAAATCCAGAAACAAAATCCACATTAGCACTTACTTTCTCTATAATGTCTGAGGGATTGAAAAGAGTGTGGCTCACTGGAGAGAAAACCTCAACTCCAGTTGAAGAAGCATAATCCTAGAGAGATGAATCTCACTTGAGTTTAGCCAAAACCTCAATGAGGCATCGTCGTAAAGCAAAATCAAAACTTTTTTGACTCAATGAAACGAGTTTTACCTTAACTTTAACATCTAGAGCTTGATAATACGGATCTGTATCATATTCATAGCAAAGCTTCTTCACCTTCCACTGCAAAAAAAAACGTATTTCAGATTTCTCTATAGCCTTAAAGTAAATCAATTTTCACAAAATTTTGAATTTTCTGCATAAGAAACACTACATTACCTCTTGCAAGCAACGAACAATGACTTCCCCGGGTTCACCCTTAAGAACCAGCAACCGCGAACCGAATTTCTTCAGGCTGGAATCGAGATCCTTGAGGCTCTCCAGTAAGAAACGGATCCGGTTTACTCCGGCGCGCGACGACCCGGGTGAGAACGCAGACGGGTCGGACTCCATGTAATGCGGGTCAATCACAAAAACCGGATACAGAAATTGGGAACCCTTTGCGGCGTATTCAAGAGCCGGGTTGTCGTGGACCCGGAGCCCTTTCCGGAACCAAATCAGTGAACCGGATCCAGTAGCCATGGATGTTACGGGATTGAGACGGTAACTTGAAGGTGAGCAGACAGAGAATCGTCGCATGAATTTGTCTGAAACTTCTACACGAGTTTTTGGGAGAATTCTCGCGCCTTCAATTTGTGCGGTTAGTATGCGCTCCTTCAACTGTGCGTTTGACTAATTTGCGCGGTAATTGGCGTAAGATAAACGAAGCTTATAGGCTATTATCGACGGTTATTATTATGCCACGTCGTTAGTATGATGAAAAATCATTTTAATGATGCGTTGCACTTTTAGTTTTGCAAAATTAATTGGGAACCTACTACTAATGGAATGGTGATTATTGATTTCCAACTAGTCAGTCACACCTTTATTGCTCATGAAAATCGAGGGATTGTGAAATTAAGAAAATTTATTTCCCATATTTGAGATTTCGGTTACTGATAATAATCATTTATGATACTCGTATTTATAGATCCAAGCCTCCAAATCATAGTTCTGAATTCTGATGATAACCAAATTATTGGTAACACCTCGAAAATCAAACGTTAACATAGGTTCCCCTGCAAATCAACCGGTCAACGTTATATTTATATATGGTGAAAAAAAGCTAAACTAATTGACGATCCAACGGTTTACAAGAAACAACATCGCGCACGATCACGACCGTACAAACACAAACGACGACCCATAATCAAACGGTTCTTGAGTATCATCATCGATCGAAAGAGATTGTTCTTTCATCCCGTAGGAAAAAAAGGAAAGAAAAAAAAAGTAAACACATTTTTTTTTTAGCTCTAGGAATTATTATTTGTGGAACGGAGGATCCGTGACCCGATCCAGCTACTTCTTGACCCGAACGGACACGTCAGACGCGAGTCGTGATGCGATCGCGGAATGATACATGACTTCGTGGAATGTGGAAACTTCGGCGATTTTCATGCGTAGTTGCTTAGCCTTCTCCTCCGTGAGGCACCTTCGCGTAGACCTCTGGTCGGTTTTATCCAGATCTGATTCCCGATTCGCGGAGGAGCTGTTCTTCACGTAATCTGGCTCCGACGACAAGCCGAAAATAGGAGCCCACCATGAAACCGAGGAAACGGGTTTCTTTCCGCTCGGATCCGGTTTTCCGATGGATCCGGTGTCAGATGATGCCCTGACCGAAGACAAAGCGGAGCAGGAGATGATTGTAGCCATTGTAGGTGAAATGCAGAAACAGATTAATCGGAAATGCGATGGATTGAGAGAAAACGTAAAGACTCTTGTATTTGGGGAAGAAGAGAAAGATTGTGGATTTATAATTAAATTACTAAATTAGTCTTTTGGATTAGGAATATAAAATGGATTAGATATTTTAGTTGAAATCACCTGCTATTCGGAGTGGCTTTTATAGTGTGCCATTGGTTTTTTGTTTGTGCATTTGATCTACGCGAGGGTATTATCGGAAAGAGTGTACAACGTTAAAAGCGTTGTATAACCACGATAATTAAGGTGGACCTGAGAGCATTGGATTTTTATTTTTCTTTGGGAGTTTTGGATAAGATTGAAGGCGTGGAGCCGAGCAGCGTTGCCAATTGTGCAATGTCACTTTTCGCTTTATAGTTGTTGATGACGAATTACGATATTTTATCTTTGGATTTATTTAAAGGTGTGACTTGTCACTTTGACAATTTCAAAAATCGACGTAATGTTTGTATGTTCATTGGAGGCATCTTTTTTGAGGGGTTGAATATTGGAGGTATCTTTTTCAAAGAAAATGAGAGTTTTATAATCATATATATTCATAAGTTTGGTGTCTCGTATGTCAGGGAATTATCGTTGGTGATACCGAATATGTCTCTTCATCAACATATTTCGAATCGTAAACAAAAAATGCAAACTCGTTTTTCCAACCCCAAATGAAGAAATGTCCTAAAGAAGTAAAGAACTATGTTTGTTTACATAAACAAAAGGTGAATATTGCATGCATATGTACTGTGATTATTTGCATCTAAAGAAGTAAAAAACTATGTTCGTTGTTAGATTTTCACAAATGCCTCCCCATTCTTCTTCTTTTAGTTATGGGCTATTTCACTCTATGACCAAACTCCTTTTAGAAAAATTATACTTTGCAGCCCAAAAATGATAATTCGTAATAGCCCAAAGTTTGACACGTTTGTCGTAATGTATAGTTTGACACGTGCGTAATGTTTTTTCCCAAAGTAAGAGTGACCAATTCCAAAGTGGACTTCTCTAATATCTCCCAAAGGGCCACTAAGAAAGGATCATCGGTGAAGAGATTAGCCATAAAAAGGGAATTTCGTTCGCTTATCCTTGGAGGTGTGACCTGAGATCACGACACAATCTCTCGAAGCCCTTTTTTGAGTCATCATCATTCATCACACCATGTGGAGAAGAATCGTCGCCTCCCATCTCAAAACCCTAGCCGCCGATGTCTCCGCTGCTTCGTCTCGTCGATCTATAGCCGCCACCGCGAGACCCGTCGGCTTCCACGTCGCTGCCGATCGATCGGCCATTTCCGCTTCTTCTTTCGTTATCCCTCGCCATTTCAGCTCCGAATCAGGTGATAAATTATTTCTTATAGTTTATCTTTTTTGCCTGTTTTTAGATCTGGGCTTGGTGCTCCATTTTGCGGTGGACTTAGATCCGATTATCGTTGTATAGTCGTACTTTCGCTGTTTCGCATACCCGCGCCATAGATTTAGAGAATAAATATAAATCTGTATTGGTCTCTGAGATTATTAATCCGTTGCCAAAAAGAATCAAGTAGATTGGTTTGATACTGAGTCGGTCGCTGTTAATCTAAGTTTCTGATATAGGATTCTGCCTACTCATGTCGCTGCTAATCTCTCTGCAAATTTGTTTTTTTTGTTTTGGGTCTTCTCCTTTAAAGAGATAATGACTGTTTATCACGCTTGTACTTTTGCAGTAGAGACGGTTTCGAAGAAGAAGGTGGAGGATGTAATGCCCATTGCAACTGGACATGAGAAGGAAGAGCTTGAAGCTGAATTGGAGGTGATTGCTTTTCTTTTCCTCTGTTATACATTTTAAGATCTGAGTATGATACAAATGTTGTTTTAATTCATTTCTACTTGTTGTGATCATGACTTTCACCATTCCTGGATATGATTTTCAGGCATAAACAATCCTTCTGCTTGATAAATACACTCGTTTTGACCTTGTCTTTGTTTTATTGGGATTAGGGGAAGAGGCTGCTTGACATTGATTTCCCTGAAGGTCCTTTTGGAACAAAGGTTAGTCTAGTTTCTCTCACCAAAGCTACGTCGTAACTCTCACTTTCAATATCTGGACCGTGTTTTTAGGCATTGTATTGAGTTTAGGCTCATCACTAGAACTCGCAATGTAAATGAAACAAACAAAGCACACTTCACTTAACTCAAGATTATCCTTATTGGGTTTGAGTCCCTGCTGGTTTACTGACCTATATGAGTGGTCAACTTACTGCCTTTGTTTTGGTCCGTATCATTCCCTCACCATGGACTGCTTTAGCATGCAGCACTCACTTTTGTTATGTCTATTTGAATCTTGTCTAGTTGCCACACTCGAAAGTTAATAAATTTTGTGAATAATGTAGTTAGTACTAGTTAACCTGAATGCACTAGCTTGGATTTAAATCATATATGAGATTTAAATGGTGCATTCAACAAAGTCTTTAAGCTGTGTTTGTTAGTTTACCATGGTTCACTGCCCATCATGCTTATGTTCACGATGATGAAGGAAATTTGCAGATGTCACTTATATAATATGGATCATGGAAATTTAGTTCGAATTACTGAAATCATAGAACTGGTGAATTAAGCATGCTGTATAACATAACTCAGACAATTTGATGTTTTTAATTTCCTCGTGTCGTTTTATCTCTCTTTTGGCTATCGTTGGATGCTTCAAACAACTTTGTCATCTTCGTGACGCACCTCCATCTATCATATTGTACTACATGTAGGAAGCTCCTGCTATTGTGAAGTCCTACTACGACAAGCGAATTATAGGATGCCCTGGTGGTGAAGGCGGTAAGTTCCATCCCTTCTTCACTCTTTTAAGTCTCATTGCAAGATTTGCCTCTTGACACAGTAGATATCTGTTTACCATTGATTGGGTCTGATCTACTGCAGAGGATGAACACGATGTTGTGTGGTTCTGGCTCGAGAAAGGAAAGCATTTTGAATGCCCGGTTTGCACTCAGTACTTTGAGGTAAGTTAAACTCGTATCAGATGCTCTCAAGTCTCAATGGTAAATAAATCGAACCGAGTTTTAATCTCAAAATATTAAATCCTTCAAATGTATGTTTGCAGCTGGAAGTGGTTGGTCCTGGTGGGCCTCCCGATGGTCACGGTGATGAAGACGAGCACCACCATTGATTCCGGCCTCTCCCTTGCCGCGAGTTTTCCTATTTTATTTTCACGCTCTTGAAATCTTTTTAGAAATCTTTTATGGTTGGAGAATAAAAGAAAAAAAATATATGCCGCTGGTGAAACACAGTTGAAAATAATTTTGATCCTTTTAGAACAAGACTCGGCGGGTATTGGAGTTTCCAAGTGCCAAAACTCTCATCACCGTTGTTTTCTTTTTTTTTGTTTTTTGGTATTTTTTTTTATTTAACAACTCTTGAATCCGAATTATTCTTGCCTTTTTGTTTATTATTATATATTCACCTTTTGTCTTCATGCGTCGATGATGTCTTTTCACATTCGACGTTTTGATCGTGTCCTTGATTCCTTGTGGACGGCTATATTATAATTCTATAGATTAATTGAAAAAATTGATTTTATTCTAACCTTGTGCATTAATTGGTTTAACGCTAATTACTCATAGAATGCACCTAAATTTTACTTTCCATCTTCAAGAACGGTGGAGGTTAACATCAACGCCGCTTTTATCCCTCGCGACGCAGCTCTCTTTCGACTATTTCCTAGCGATTTCATCTTATATTATAATCTCAAAGGTTAAAAAAATAAGACCAAATTAAGTTAACTTGATTTATCGAAAATTAAACTATAATGTCTCAAAATTGCGTGAGTTGTTATTTTATTCCATATGCCTATATATCTAGTTTAAATATCATTATATGTTCACAATGCAAAGACCAAACAGAAAATAAAATATGTGTGTGCTTTAGAAATAACTTTTTTTCTTTTGCTAAATTTGCTTTAAATAAATTAACACCGTGTGAAACTAAAGCAAAACCTAACAAGCTAATAAAATAGAAGAAGACAAAGACAAACAAAGGACAGTGTTTTCGGAAAATGCCCGAGGAATATATTCCAAATAATATCAAAAAGAGCATTACTTTTAAAAAAACGAAAAAATGAAACAAACTATCGAGAAAGGAACGTCGGAGTTCAATATTCCCTTATTCTCTAATGTTCAACACAGCTTGCCCTCATTACAAACCCCTCGTGTTCAGACATGCATGCATGCATATGATATTTTTGTCCACATACATACATTGATACATACGTGATATTATATGAATGTAGTGTATATAAATTAGCATTTCTTGTTTAAAATTAGATTAGCACTAGCTGGGAAAAAAAATCATATTATGCGTAAGAATATTAAAAATGTGACGATTTTACTCCATTTCTATTTAGTTGCCTTTAATAAATTAAATAGTAAACTAAACACGTATATTGTTAGCTGACTTATATACACGTGTATAATATTCCTTTGAATTTTAGTTTTCATCGTCTATATTCATATTATACTTGTTTTACAGCAATCTTTATATGTACAATTCTGAAATTCCGTCAAACATATTTTGCTACATGCACTTTTTTTTTTACCAAATAAATGCACTGTTGTGCTATGGGTAGTTTATATTAACGTGTTGTATATCACAAATGGTTATTTTTCTCGAAAAACGATTACCTTTTCTTTTTCTCAGAAATGTAAAATACGGAAATAAATGAGTGTTGGCAAAATATATTTTTAAAATTTTATATTATGAATCTCATAGTTTTTGGTAGTACCAACTCTACATTATAATTTTAGTGGTACTTTTGAAAAAAACAAGGCATAAAACTATTTTAATGGTATTTTTGAAAAACAAGACATAAAACTACCGTTTACTAACATTTAATAAGACCAACTGGACGTTTATTTTATATTTCTAATTGTACTAGTTAATGCTAGTCGTGTTTAAAACACCTAGTGCTCAAAATTATGCATAGTACTCACCGATATATTACACGATCGTAACAATATCAGATGCAACTTGCTCCCCAAATTAAAGGATTAGAAAACTTGTAAATTGCCTGCAAAAAGATAAATGCAATATGATTAATTAATGTGAACTACTTTATCCCCTACGATTAACATCTTGAGTGCCTTATCCAGACAGCTACGGGACATTTCTTCCTTCACTCTTTTTACCTGCTATTACCTGATTTTGTTACATAATATTTCATCCGTTTTTTAATAGATGATGTTTTAGTTTTTACAAAAATTTTAAGATATTTTACTTTTTAATTACTTTTTTGTTTCCCAACACAATTATATTAATAGAATTAAAGTAAAAATAATATTTAATTAATTAAAAGTTAAAACATCAAATATTTTTAAAAATAAATAAAAATCTTAAAATATCATACATTAAAAACCAAAGGAAATATATATGTATAAATTGACAATACTTTTTAGTAAGCAGAGGGTGTAGATAAAATTATAATTGTGATCACGATTTGTGGTAATCTAGGAATGGAACACATATATATGTACACACACACAAAGTAAACACCTATGCAATTTGTATACAGAGTAAAAAAAAAAAAAATTGTATACAGAGTAAAGCATCTCGTATCTTGTTTTATGCAGGAAAGATACCCTTCTTTGCGAGTATTGTATTCATCAATTCAATTTATATATTAGAAAGAAAAAAAACACGTTGACATTTTTGTTCGTCTCTAAATGGCTCACTTAAATTAATTATGCACATCATAGACATATACTATCAGTGATCGTATATAACCTTAATCAAATATAAAGAACGGCATGTATTGTCCTTTTTATCGATGTACTCGAAAATAATAATTTTAATCAAAAATATACGTAATATATTATATTGGTACGAAACAAATTATATAATAATTATAGTAAGGACACAAAATTTTATCTGCAAACATGCTGTTTACAGGTAAAAACAAAGAAGATTATTTTATTTTTTTGGTTGGCAGAAAAGGAGTGAAAATTTTTTAAGTTTTAGAATGCATTCTCTTTCAGTGGGCTTACTAACCTTTTATTATACGAACGAACGCTATATATACAACTCAAAAATGATCAAACTATATAACATGGATGGTAGTGCTGGACGCATCAACATCCGTTGTCTTTTTTATGTTAATTGATAAGAAGATCTTAATGTAAATATGTTTATAATCATTTTTTAATAATTTGGGTTGACTATTCACCACCAATTGATGTTGTTTTCTTAATGAATATGGTGGGTCACTAGAAGAGCTGACTAACAAAAAGCTAAATACACGTTAACAAAAAAAAAAAAGATCGCAAAAGTATATAATTAACTTGCAAAAGTTGTTGACCTTTGTTAAAAGTTATGTAATGTGATGGCGTACGTCATTACTAAGAAATATGTCAAGTAATGTTCAACAATCAAATTTTATTTTGTGTTGTCGAGGATTTGAAGTTCTTTATACCGAATTCATAACTACTTGAACATTATTTTCATTCTATGTACTCAGCCAGTTTTTCAAATAAATGCATGGGTGCACCTTATTACAAATCTCACAATAATATAATATTTTTTTTGAAAATTCACATTAATATAATATAACAATGTAAATGTTATACTATATGATAATTGGTCATAAATTACTCAATTCCTATGACCGGTTCATTTTAAAAATTCAAATGATTGATTAAGTGGTAACGGCTGATATGTTTTTTCACGAAAGATAAATAGTAATCATTCCATAAAATCTATAAAGATCTTTGTGTTAGAAATAGAAGAGGAGAGATAATGCAATTATTACGCGAATGGTACGTGACGTATTCAATATCCATTGTTTAGTGTTTTAATTCATTATTTATTCATTTTTTGGTTTTAAGTTTTGATATGATGTCTTTTTTTCCTATATACTTTTCAAATGTAACATGTTAAATTGTTAAGGGGAACTTTGATCTCGATCAATATATAAAATTGTCATTAGAATGGTAACACTGGTTTCAATTTTCAAACATAAAAAATTATAGTTTTTGGGTATCTCATATATCTCACATGGAAACTAGATTTAAAGTTTAAGAGAATCATGAAAGTTGCATTGCTCAGACCCATTCCGATTTTATCATCATGTAGGTCACTCCCACTAAAATTCTTTTTTTCTTTTGTAATTTTCATTTTATTAATATAACGTATAATAATGCTAACAAACATCATCCATATTAGAATTACACGTGTGTAAAATAATATTTAATAATTTCAACCTAGTGCTTTGACTTCCGGAGATTGGATAAATACACTCTTTTTACGGTAAATAAAAATAATTAAGTGGACCGAACGTTACTTCAACATACGAAATGTAAATGTCAAAACAAAAAAAAATGCGTTAATGCATAACTAAAGAAAATGGATTGAAGAAAATCTCTTACGAAAGGTATATTGGAGTGTAATACTGTAATGGTTTGTATTTGTTGTTGGAGTATTGAGCAAAAATATTAGTAAAAGAATAAAAAAAGCCACATAAATAAATAAATAAACAGAAGAAATGTATCTAAACTGATCACTATTCACATGTAAAAAACGAAATGTACTTTATGAAGAGATTTTTTTTGCCAACTAGCAACCAACAAATAAAGTATCAGATGTAATATGATGGAATATGTTAATATGTACTCACCATTTTAATGATAAAATCAAATGAAGTACACAATAATTTATTGAAAAATATATATTTATGTACTTTTTATCATATACAAAATTCAATGATTGTACTACCGAAAAATTAATAACAATTTAGACGATTAAAAAAACACAACTTTTTATCTGCATAGTAAGAAAAAAATGACTGGGAAACAAATTAGTGGGCTTGATGACGTCACCCAGTGTTGGATGGGAAAAAACGAAACAGTGGGAAACAAAAGAGAGTAATGACTAATGAAAGAAGCGTTGAAGAAGATGAGAAAAGATGAAAGGCTTTTTTGGTTTATTGCTTCCACCCCCACATGATATCCAGGTTGGTCACTGATGTTTCCTACGCATCATCATTACACTCAGTGCTCTGAGATTTCATAAATCCAAGAACCCTAAAAAATAAACCTTAAATGTAATCTCTTTCTCCACTGTGTTTGTATTGCCCTCATCAAAATCCCCAAATTTTAATCCTTTTTCTCGGACAAAGTTTCACACTTTTAAGCTTTCTGGTTAATGGGTATCCATCCATCAATCATCTCACTTTTATTTTTCATTAAAAAAATCATTGAACAAGGAGATTTATTTTTTCCTTTCCTTCTTCTTTTTCAATTTTGTATTATGCCCTCGTGTTTCTAGTAATATATTACTTGTGTATATAGAATTAATATTCTTTTACGCGGAAGAGTTTATTTTCCTCCACTGCCACAAGGTATTGATTCTCTCTCTCTCTCTCTCTCTCTCTCCTCTGTTTAATTTCGCCGCTAGCTCTGCTCTGGTTTTGATTTTGATTCTTTCTGTTCCCAAAAAGATTTATTTCTTTTGTTTTTTTTTTATAAAGAATAAGAAAAAGAAATTGGTTTCCTTTTTCTATTTCCATGGATGCTTTCTCTGGCCTTCTCTTAGTAGTAGTTTTTGTGTAGCTGTTGTACACATTTAACATCCCATAGTGAATGATTCAGATTCACATCTCTTTTCTTTTTATTCCCTCCTCCTCTCAACATCAACCTCAAAAATCCAGCTCTATAAATACTCATGTCCCCTTCCCTTACCTTCTCTTATATTTTCCATCATTGTGTGTTTTGACATTTGAAAACACTCTACGAAATCACAGCAAGGTCTTCAAAATTGTAGTGAAACAAAAAAGTCCATTGAACAACAATGAGCTACTCTCATCAAAGCATGGGTTCTGGTTTGTTTCTACTTCTTGTTTTTCTCTATGTTATGTTTGATCTTAAAATGGTTTGGGTGTTGAGTTATGAAGTGTGTTGTTACTGTGTGATTGTAACTCTGTTTTCTGATTACTCTGCTTGAATATATTTCTGTCAAAATCTTTGTAGGTAGTAGAAGTGCAAGGGGCTATGAGTTTGGAAGGACTTATGTTGTGAGGCCCAAAGGAAAGCACCAAGCTACTATTGTTTGGTTGCACGGTCTTGGAGACAATGGCTCTAGGTAATATAATTTGATCAGTGCCAGTTTCTTGTGTCAAGTCATAAAGAAAGTTCTAAGCTTTAAACTCATGCTTGTCAAAACAATGACCAAATGAGTCTCTTCCTGAGACAAAAGTTCACATTTTTCCTCTGTTCTCTCTGCAGCTCGTCTCAGCTCTTGGAGAGCCTGCCTCTTACAAACGTAAGGATCCATGAAAGCAACACACTTAACTTTCTGTGTTACTAAACTCTTATGTGAAAGGTTTCTGATGAACAATATATATATCCTGTGAACAGATTAAATGGATTTGCCCAACTGCTCCTTCGCGTCCTGTTTCGCTTCTGGGCGGATTCCCTTGCACTGCCTGTAAGATCATTTCAACTTCTAGGCTCCTGTAACTTCATGAAAACGTTCTCGCAAAGCGATTTCTTAAACGATAGAAACCAACCTCTTTGCTTCTCAGGGTTTGACGTGGGAGAAATCTCTGAGGATCTTCATGATGATATCGAAGGCTTAGATGCTTCAGCTGCACATATTGCTAACCTCTTGTCAACCGAACCAACAGATGGTAAGCCAGCCACAAGAGTTATATTCATGCCTCTTAAATACAATCTCTAGCTTAACATGAAACTGTTCTTTGTGGTTTGTGTCAGTCAAAGTTGGGATAGGAGGTTTCAGTATGGGTGCAGCAATAGCTCTCTACTCCACGACTTGTTACGCTCTTGGACGTTATGGAACCGGACATCCTTACACTATAAACCTTCGTGCTACTGTAGGACTCAGTGGTTGGCTTCCTGGTTGGAGGTACATATATATATACTCTCTTTAACCACCCTTTCATGTCACATCTAACACAGAGACTAATTCTTGAAAATGTAACATAACAATGCAGGAGCTTGAGGAGCAAAATTGAAAGTTCGAATGAAGCTGCAAGGCGTGCTGCGTCTATACCAGTCATACTTGCACATGGAATTGGTAAGTGTACTCATCATTCTGTAACATAATGATAAATGTCAATAGAATCTGATTTTTGTTTTTTTTTCTCTTTTGATTCTTTGGTTGCAGCGGACGATGTAGTTCCTTACGGGTTAGGAGAAAAGTCTGCTCGTTCACTTGCCATGGCTGGATTCCGACAAGTTATGTTCAAACCATATGAAGGGTAAATGTTAACTCTTGCGTACCAAAATTAGCAGTCTGGTTTGATTTACTGTTTTGGTCTGAGATTGTGAGGTTTTAATGTCATTGTGTAGGCTTGGTCACTACACGGTTCCTAAAGAAATGGATGAGGTCGTTCACTGGCTCGCATCAAGGCTTGGTCTCGAGGGCTCGCGTTAAACTCGAAAAGAAGCATCTAAAGCAATCTATAGCTATTATACATGGTGTAGAATAATATATATAAAAGGGGGTATGGGTGGGGGTTTCTTGGGGTATACGGTATTTTCATGTTTTTACTGTTTTGTGATTTATTTTTGCTTTTCTGCTTTTTCGATTCTTGATTATGAATAAATAAAATAAGGGCTCCTTGTGCCTTTTTGTTCATAACAAATCCAAAGATTCTTCAGTTTCTTAGAGACATTATTGCCGTACATCAAAATATATTCTTATGAAAAGAAACAAAAACATAATAGCTTCTTCACTCAGCAGTCAGCATAAACTTAAGCCTTGGAGATAAACTTAAGTCAACATAAACTTAAGCATAAACTAAAAGTTTTACTGAGACTTTTGGTTTCCAGAGACGTCTTTAAGCTTTTCCTCCAACTCACCTTCCTGAAATTAAAAAAAAAAGGACTTGTGATGATTATATAAACCAACACAGTGGAAATACAATAGAAAGACAAAAATGGTATGCTCGTTGGTGAAACAAACCTTGTGCATGTTAAGAATGATGTCTGAGCCGCCAATAAACTCTCCCTTGATGAAGATCTGTGGAAACGTAGGCCAATGGCTGCGCAGAAGAAAATTTCATGAATCAGATTCAAGACTACTGAAGAAATATGGTTTAGTTGAAGAAGGGCGTAGATCATATAATATGCCATTCAAGAAACGTAGAACAGACCAAGAAAAGGCGTTGATCATATAATTTGACATTCAAGAACAGAAACGCAGAACAGACCAAGGTGGTCTTATTTTAGAACAACACATAAGACGCAGAACTTGTAACGGAAGGAGCCAAGGATCTTATTCTCAACTTTCTTGGAAAAAAAAATAGAAAACATAATGTACTCACCTGAAGGACTTGACAGCGTTTTTCAACTCTTGGTCTTCAAGAATGTTTCTAGCACCGATAGGAACATCTGAGAACAAGAACCCACAACACATTAGATTCAGAGCTTTAAACAGAGAGATGGCCTTCTTCAATTTCAATCTACAAAGTACATCAAAACTTACTATATTGTTGCAGAACTCTCACGGCTAGAGAGCTAAACCCACACTGAGGAGATTCAGGGACTCCTTTCATGTAAATCATAACAGGGTTTTCCTTCACATCCTACACAATCCAAAGCTCCACCAGATTCAGAATCAATTACATATATGTCATAAACACACAACATAAACTTCAAAAATCAGAAAGCTGGAGTTTTTACATTCTCAACGATATCCTTGAGTGAGTCGGTAGATCCGGAGGGGACTTTTTGGGTAGGCTTGAAATCATCATGTGTATCTGAATCGCTGGGCACTGTAGATGAGTGTCTCATCATCATCATCCCATTTTGATAAACTGATGCAGATGCCTATAAACAGAAAACCACAAGAGTTGATTCACTCTGTAAATTCAACTGTCATATGTGAAATCATTTCGAAACCAACTCCAAATTCAAAATAGGCAACATAAGAACATTCAAATTACTGTTCTCGTTTATGAGAAGCTCATGTAGTTAAGAGACAATTTTTCAAAGGTTCGAGATTGGAAAAGAGACAATTAGATTGAGCAAATCAGATAATATGACCGAAGTAAAGAGCTTTGCGAGAGAAACGAACCAATCTGCTAGAACGAACAGCCTGGAGGCTAGAGATTCCCTTCAGAAACCTGCTCGACAAAGCAGCCGCCATCTCTAAAATCACGTTGATTTATTCAACCCACAACCAACAAAAATTCGCGATTTCCTAGAAACAATCAAGATCAGGAATGGGGAAAGTCAGAGAGGATTCACTGATTCCGTCTCCAAATATTCAGAAAAATGCAAAAGAAAGAAAGGGAAGGAGAACTTTGGTGAAGGAAGAAACTCGACTACCTGATGAATATGACGAAGAGGACGACGGAGCAGGAGAGATACTTTTTTAGGGCTTTTGGGCTTACAAAAATTGCAACACCGTCTTCAAAGATCTTTTAACAATGTCTCCCTCAAACGACCGAACTAGAAACGACGTCGTGTCACAACTCATAGCCCTATGGTCTTTTATACGGTGACGTTTAGGTGGCCACGGACGGAAAATAAAAAAGCACTTCCTCCTTTGACTTTTTCAATTTTGTTTGTCTGGTTTATCGAATTACGACAAGTCAATTTGAGAAGAAAAAACACATGTATCAAAAAAAAGTTATCTATCGAGTTTAAAATCCTTGATGAAAATACAATATGTAAGCATGGAAAATTCTTACATACATTTTACTCGTCTTTACAAGTGAAAAGAATATAACGTATCTATTTTATAGGCAGGATATAAAACTAGCAACATATATAAATCAGCTATATATATGTGTTTGTCGAATTTTCTAAGATTATAATAGTAGAAGTGATTCGGTTTAAACAGCTACATTGATTAACAATACTGATGTTTGAAATCATTTCTATAAATTAAGTAGAACGTGGTATGGAACCAGAGCTGTTTATTATAACACAAATACAAATTGGACAATACAAAAGTTGTGACGGGATCGAATCTAAACTTATTGAGCTGGAAATTAGAAGTCTCCAGGATCAACCGTCACAAGAAACACAACGGAATCACAAAACACAAGACACAATGGAAATTACAAACACAAAAGACACAGAAATTGAAAAGACCAAACAAACATCACAGAGACGAAAGAGAGAAAGACGCATTCATAGTTCTTTTATTATCCTCACTTCCTCTGATAAGTCTGATGAGTCGGATCAGTGGTCCGAGTAGTACCAGTAGTGGTCGTAGTAGTACCCTGAAAATGTTCCCTGTCATCTTCCTCCGTAGCAATACCAAAAGTATGCTTTAGCGCATCAGCTGCACCCATAGCCGCTTGCTTCACATGTTCACCGGTCTGGCTTAAGAACCCACCGGTCTTGTCTCTACCGGCTTCAGCCGTTTCCTTCGTGTACTGAGCCGCCCCTTCAGCCGTCTCCTTTGTGTACTGTGCAGCGCCTTGAGCTTTGTTCTTTATGACTTCTCCTGTCTCGGACATGTAGCTCCCGGTCTTGTCCTTAGACTCACGTGCTTTGTCTTGAGCCGTCTGGGCAGCTTGAGAGGTCTTGTCTTTTGCTGATTGGGTCGTATCATGAGCCTTTTGTTGGGCCGTCTGTGCAGTTTGAGATGTCTTGTCTTTCGCTGACTGGGCTGTCTCATGGGCCTTTTGTTGAGCCGTTTGGGCTGTTTGAGAAGTCTTGTCTTTTGCTGCTTGGGTGGTATCACGAGCCTTGTCCCTACCTTCCTCAGCCTTGTCCCTCATCGTTCCCATAGCTTGTCCAGCCTTCTCCTGTTATTATTACACAACCAAAATCATCTTTAAAACTCGAGAATAAATGAGATTTACATATATAAACATATATACATATAAACATTCTTATCACCTGAGTCTTTCCTCTGGTTTCACCAGCTTTGTAGCTTTGTTGGTTAGACGCCATTTTTCTTTTCTTCAAATGCGTAAAATATGAAACGACAATTCAAGCTTTTTGTGAAAGTGTTTGTTGCTGTTTAGAAACTGTGTGCACTGTCTCTCCGAACCATCGGGACATTTGTAGTGTGTCTTGGTCGGTGGAGAACAAGACACGTGCCAGCATAAAAGATACGTGTATAGCTGCGTGGTGTGATGAGATTAAACCGAATTAAATTAGGAGTATGGGGTGTTGTACTTTGCGAGTGTTAAGTATGCGGTTTCTCGGTCTTGTACTTGTCCTCTGTGGTTGCGACACGTCATGGTTAATTGTAGTGATGGTTGTTACGTGGCAACACCATGAATGTCGTCGCCGCATGTTATGTGCACATGGCTCTATCGTTAATTGTATCGGTCGTTACATGTTTTTGTTTGCTAAAAGGCTTTCGGTCGTTTCATGTTCCGTGGCCGTGCCAAACTCAAACGACACTTAGATTATAACAGGACAATTAAAATACTCTTTACCAGTGGTGTGTAATTAAAATGAAATCAAAATTATATGAGCAACTTCGAGGTTAGTCTTTGAACTACGTACTCACCTCCACATATAAATTTAGCCAATCATATACTTGCCACGATTGTAACAAATGATAATAGATATGATACAATTTAGAAATATACTAATCATATCATTTACGTTTTTACACGTTGTTAACTGTAAGTATACGAAATAAATGTGGTAAAATTGAAATGGCACCAAAACATATGATACGACACTACAAGAAAACATCGTTTTCCATATGACGGCAAAAAAAGGATGAGTACTTGAACAATGGATATAATAAGAAATTAAGAATCACAGTAATGGCCTAATTTCTTGAATGATCCGTATTATCTCAGGCCACTAATATTCTTCAATAATAGGTCATCAGTAGTAGGTTTATATATTTTTCCTATTTTATTGTTAGATTCTCTTTCTTATGGATTGTTCTGTCATACAACCATTCTTTAGATATATTGGTTGCCCAAAGCTTTATGGTTTATTAATATACGTTAAATTCAAGATATTATTTATTGGACCTTTTTACGAAAGATATCACTATTGATCTAGACGATATCTTCTAGTTTCACGTTGACTAGTTAACAATTCTCATGCAAAATGTATTGAATTGAATAATGAACATGAGAACAAATGAAGGATATGGCACAAGATGTATCCGCTATCGCGAAGAACTTTCTTGTGACAAACGCCGATAATAAATCGGAAAATTCCACTTCCGGTGTCGGAAGGCAGGCCCGGCCCAAAGAGGTGGGTAGAAGTGTGCCCGTCTATGGGTCCAGACCAAATATAAGACAACACTATACATTTAAGAGAACATTTTCAAAAATATTAATCTAAAAAATATATTTTTTATTTAAATTATTTTTTTATTGACAAAATCATTAGAAAAAGGCTTAAAAAATTTAGATTTTTGATATTAAAAAGTCCAAAATTTCGATTTTTGATATTGAAAGGCCCAAAATTTCGATTTTTAATATTAAAGGGCCCAAAAATTTTTTTTGCTCAAGAGCTTTAAAATTCATTGAACCGGGACTTCCAGAAGGGCAAAGCCACCATACAACCACCATGAGTCCCACTTACATGTTTTAAGGTAATTCATAGATGTTACCCGTAACATCCATATTTTGTTGATTTCAGTATAACTTTTTTTCAAAAGTTCTATTGGATGAAACTTGTTAATCTGTTGTTATAATATTTTTGGGCAACTTATTGTGGAGTATTCTTATAACTAAAACATATAATAAATTGCTAATTTTGTATTAAAAAACTAGAAAAACAAAAGTAAAAATGAAAGAGGGTGGAGAGGTGATGCATGGATGGGAGTCCCAAAGAGAATCGAATCAGTTCAGTTCCTTTTTTTTTTGGTTTGTTGCCAACTTTACTCTTCTCCAAGAGAATGGACTCCAGATATTACCAGCTTCTCCTCTTTTACCTGGTTAAACTATAATAACAAAATAAAATTGTCATTTTTTTTCTTTGTTTTTAGTTCATTTTAAAAACCTGGGAATAAACAGCGAGAGAAATAAAGGAAAATTAAAGTGAGAAATAAAGGAAAAGATGGTCAAAACGAAAACATCGAAGAATTATTCCGTCACCATCACCCAAATTTATCTTTATTGAAACTCTCTATTTTGCCTCATCCCTTTTGATTTTCCCTTTATCTTTTCTTTTCCCCTCTTTTTATGTTTTTTGACCCATAATTATATACGAAAATTTTCTATTATTATATTTGTTTGGTTTTCTCATATCTATCCCATCCACGCATTTTGTAGACATTTTGTTGTTTATACCATTTTGAACTTCATCGTATGAATATATCTGTTTATAAAATCTTAGGAATGAAAAAACTTTTTTTTTGTTAAGCAAATTTTCTGTTACAATGCTATATATAATATATCTACGGTTTCTTTTGAGAGATCATACAAAAAAAAATAGCTCATACATTACACTAAATCGATATTTTTTCAAATATAAAATAGTTCGATTATATCTGCGATTTGTTTTGAGAGGTTAGCTCATAGATCAAATGAACTATTGTTTAACTATCATGTATAGAAACAGGATTGTGAATACATATATCATTACTCCATCCTTAGATCATAAACTAGTAACATTGTTAAGATTGTTTTCTAAATCACTTCTAGCATATAAATCGACGTAATTAACAATTTTAATAATACTTTTTTACAAAGAAAGAGTGCAAGCTATAGACACAATTATAAAATGGCGAATTTTAACATTCCATGTAAGACTTATCAAAATCCATCACACTGATCATCATTTTGAATGTTTACATATTGTTACGTTGCCGCTAAGCAAAGGAGGAACTTATATTATAGTTTTCTTTAAAAAGAAAAGAAACACAAAAAATAGTGAATATTCAAAATTCAAAAGTAATTTAGATTTTTATTCGTGTCTCGGAGGTCGATTCAGTTGCCTCCTTAAAGTATAAATGAAAGAGACTTACCATAATACAATTGAGAGATTAAGCCACCTTTTTCTATATCAACCAAAAGCTTATACCACGTACAAGATACCGAATCGATTCTCTATTCGATAGCATCTCTTTATAGTTATATGTACACCTTTATCTAAATTCATTTAGCAATTTTTTCTTTTGTTTTTTGTTTTTCTAACGGAAAGTCCGAAGACCCCAAAGTTTGGTTCCTATTACAATCTCACTCACACGGTCTATACGTTAAGAAATATATGTATGAATATGTAAGATCTAAGACGAATATATAGTGACATAGTGAGAAGTTATATTTTAATTTCAAGTTAATTGTAAGCTCAAACTATGTTGCGCCAACTCTTTCTCTACCACCGTTAATCTTTTCCAAAGTATGTTAACAAGTTTCATAATAGAGAAAATTAAGCTCAATCTCGGTTCTTTCGTACCATGTCAATTACTTTAGATTTTTTCTTAACTTGTTCTATTTAGCCAATATAAATATATATATATATATATTATTTGTAACATTTTACTTCTGCCAACAGTAATGTGTTTAATTAAAACAAAATTATTGTGATAGGTAAGCAAGGCTGCCTAGCTAGCTACTTAAATTAAATACAATTCTTCACTGGGAACTAAATGATGAGCTTCCTTGGTGTTGAAGCATATAATCATAAATCTTGAACATATAGTTATGAATTGCATTAGAGATAGAGGGTCCAAAAAGGTACGAGTCAAAGAACTTTTGTGTAGAGGAAGAGGTTAACAAGATCTCTTTCTTTTAGTTGGGTGTGGGCTCCTTAAGTTGTTTGTTGGCTTCTTGTCACTCTTGATTTACTTAAAAATTACACTATACTTTGACCCAAGATTCTTACCAAAGTACTTTTATTTTATGATTTAAGTATTATTATATTAAAATTCAAACTAAAATTTAAATTTACATATGAATTATCATATGAAATATGAAGTGACCAAGACGATAATAAAAAGAACGAGAAGTGACAAAAAAACATGTAGATTGTCGAGTGAAAATCAACTTATTAGGGCATATTTCTTGAGTTTGATTTCTTAATTTCTTTAACCACAAAAATTAATTTCTTAGTAACCAGTTCACAAATAAAAAACTACCTTTACTCCGACGTGAACAAGTAATTAAGCTGAATTCTATGTCGTTAAAAGAGAGATTTACATGTGCATGCATCAATCTAAACATCTCATATAAAAAACAGACTCAAAGCTATGGCCAAAGCAATTGTATATCCATATATATTTAAAAATTTATAGGCTTCGGAATCTCAGCCGGAATTTTCACTTAATTTATTTCTATATTCTCGGTTTTTTTTTTGCTCTTCTTTTGCGAAAGTTTACAATTGTGGTGAAGAAAACGAAAAAGTAATTATTATATAATTATATATTTTTTTTTATAAAAAACAGACACCAGTTCTTCTTCTCTGTTCTATTTAAGCACATCTTCTTCACATCACTCTTTCAAAGCCTCGTGTCTTGTTTTCTTTCACTAAACCCATAATCACATTTCTTCGAAGTTCACCAAGGTCAGTCTCTTAATTTAAATTATTTCTTAACTATTTGATCATATTATATATTCATTTCGAAAAACTATAGCTTCTGTATAGCTAGCCACAAACAATTGGAAAATAGTACGTTATATACGTGATGAATAATAAGATATTAATCTCCAAAACTATCCACTATAATTTTATATACATAGATATAAATATTCGTAACTACACTTGATATTTTCTCCTCACTTTTAACGAAATCACGAGTTCATTCAACACATAAGAAATTCATTTTAATTAGTTTCATGGTACTTGCCATCCTTTTTGTTTTTAATAGAAATAAGAAGTAAATTTTATAAATTATCTGATAGAATATTCAAATGAATTTGCATGTTTTTTGTTTTTATAATAATTTTTTTATATGCATGCTACAGCAAATAATATAGAAGCAAAAGAATACAAGAACTGAAGATGAGCAGACCCGGAGATTGGAACTGTAGATCATGCACCCACCTCAACTTCCAGCGCCGTGACTCTTGCCAGCGTTGCGGCGACTCTCGTTCCGGTGCCGGCGGAGTCGGTGGCTTAGACTTCGGTGGTTTCGGAGGCAGAGCTATGTCTGCTTTCGGATTCACCACCGGTTCCGACGTTCGTCCAGGTGATTGGTACTGCACCATCGGAAACTGCGGGACACACAACTTCGCCAGCCGCTCCACTTGCTTCAAATGCGGCACTTTCAAAGATGAATCCTCCGGTGGTGGTGGCGGCGGCGTCGGGGGTGCCGCCATGTTTGACGCCGATGTTATGCGGTCTAGAGTCTCCGGCAACGCTGGCCGCTCCAGCTGGAAATCCGGCGACTGGATTTGCACTAGGTACCAAAATAATATATCTGGTCTATATAGATAATTCTATTGATTTACATGTTAAAGTTTAATTGAGATAATATTTTTCTTAATGGAAACAGGATTGGTTGCAATGAGCATAACTTTGCAAGCAGAATGGAGTGCTTCAGATGCAATGCACCAAGGGACTTCAGCAACAGAACCTCTTTCTAAAATATACAAAATTGCCTTTGAAGTAGCCTTGTTTCCAATTTCTTGGGTAATTCAATTTTATATATTCCATCACTACTTTGAAAAAAAAGGAACTTTGATTGTTAATTAAATACGGACCAAGACTAGTAACTATTTTATTGTTATCAAACACAAAACAACCCTTGTTTGTTGGTTTCTGATCACAATATTATAAATACTTCTATATTTGAAATGTTTTAGTTAATTCATTCGTTTTATTTCTAATTTGATATTTTCCAGGCACCGTTTCAATCAATGGAAAAGGAGAAAGAGAAGCAAGAGAGAACTAAAGATGATGATAATTTTGTTAGATGTTGCAATGAGCGCCAATATTGTAACTTTAGCTGTCGTGCTTTTGGATGTATTATCCATTTTATTATAATTTCTTTTTGTTTCCTTTTCCTTTTCTTCCTTAATTCGTAATTTTCTTTTGCAGTTTCTTTTTAAGGGTTTTATTATTCTAATCATTGTACGCTGCATGTCTTTCTTAAAAGAAGATTCTCTTCTCAATTTCATCGCTTTATACATGAGTTGCTACTTTTTTTGTTTTTTTGTTGTCCAGCCTTTTTAACGTATATTCTAATAGACTATAGTATAGGGCCGGCTAGACTATCAGACTATATGTAATAGCATTACAAGCACTTGAGTTTAATATATCAACACATTGAAGCTTTAGTAATATTTATTACAAGTTATATATCAACCTAATCTTAGTGAGTGCAAAAATAAGCAGAATTTTATGAATATAACCAAGATTCTTATAAAAATACTACTAGCAACAACAAAAAAAAAAACTATCCGAATTTGGATTTTTTTTAGGAAATAGTATGGAGGTTCTTGCATGCATCTCCAACTGTGTATAGACACGTATAGTATAACTATATATTTTTTTTAACAAGATAACGTTGGAAAATATAAAGAAATGTTCAAAAAGAGAAAAAAAACGTTGGAGAATATATGTTCTAAAACATGTGTACATTCTGACAAGAAAACATGTGTAAATATTTTTATAAAAATTAATTTTTGGATATTTTTTTTCTTTTAATATTTTGAAGATTTATAGTATCTATAATTAATTATAATGAAGAATTTATGACCTTAAAAGGTTAAATCAATTATTGTAGAGTGAAAAACTTTGAGCTAAGTGCAAGTGCAAATTTATTGATTACCTTTACAAAGAAAAAACACCCACTATAACAAAAATCCATAATCATGGGCTTTTAAGTCATGTTAATGGGCTAGAAAAGCCCAAATAAAATAAACAAATTCGAGCTTTCGTGCTTCGCTGTGCAAAGACAACTCTGGTTGTATCGAACGAGCGAACCCAACCAACGACGAGCATTAACCTCAAATTTTGATTTGATTCGTCTTCTCACTCCTCTCTAATCGTCTCCCTCGTTCGTATCGTTATCGTATCGCCTTATAATCCCATTCTCCGCCTTACATTCTCTCTGTCTCGAATCCTTGCCTCCCTCCATGGCTTCCTGTAAGTTTCTCTTACCTGACTTTTGTTGTCTTGTCGAATCTTATGAGCCCCAGGTTCATTTTCAAATCGCACACAAGACCGAGCTTTTTTGTTCGTATGATTTGATAGTTTTCCGTTCTCATTGAATCATATTGATCGAAAAAGATTGGAACTTTGGGGATTGAGTAATTTGAGTGAGAAGGGTAATCAGAAAGGGACTTCATTTGAACAATTTATGGTATCAATCAAGAGATCTAAAATTGAATAATTCCTCTTTAGTACTCGTTTTAGTGTTGATGGGATTCGTGTTAATTCCTTTCAAGTGAATTGAATATCAATTTCTCAATTTCTTGCAAGTTCCATCAATACTCAGTTCGTCACCGTTTCCACTAATGGAGTGATCACGTCAAGGATCTAGTGCTGATGAGACTGTCTTGTTGCCTATTTCAGGTAGCCTAGGAGTTCCCAAAATAAAAATATCAGCAGTAGACCTTAGTAGGGTAAGATCCGGAAGCTTACAGACAATACCATGCAATCAAAGATCAATGATTTGTCAAAGGCCGCTTAAGTACTTGAGCCTGAGGACGACTCTTTGTTCTGTGAAAGCTGTCCAAGTCTCTGCTGTCACAGCTGCTGAAACATCAGGTACGCTTGTCTCTTCTATGTGCTCTGATCTCTGTGTCCTTCTTCTTCTATGGTGGATGCACATTTTACTGTTTATTTGTATGGAAAGTGTCTTTTGTCTATAAATGTTATCTGATACAACCTTCTTATCCTTAGATACTGTAGAAGTAGAAGATACCGAAGAGACCAAGTCATATCCATTGAACGCTCAGCTCATTCCCAAGCCCTCTGAGGTGGGTTTTGATTAAATATTAGGATGTTATTTGAGTAACTCTGGCTGGTGATATTCCGAAATTTCTTCCTTCATTATTGTGTGATCTTGATGGGCTAGTAGAACACTATATATGGGAATGTACTTGCTGCATGCACAATAAAAAACATTTGAGTTCGTTTATCAACTGGATGTATTTTGTTTGATTTCTTTTTTTTTCCGATCTTCTAGGTGGAAGCTCTTGTCACTGAAATATGTGATTCCTCATCGATTGCTGAGTTTGAGCTGAAAGTAAGCCCCTCCCACTCAATTGAGCTGTAGTTATGTTATTTTGAAATTTGATTCTTATCTGATACTTACTTGTACGTCTTTTATTTGCTTATTCTAATAGCTGGGGGGTTTCCGCCTATATGTAGCAAGGGACTTAGCTGACAAAAGTAGCCCACAACCTCAGCAAATTCCTGCTGTTGTTGCTGCAAATGCAACTACTGAGAATATTGATTCTAATGGATCAGCTTCCTCTACTTCATTGGCTATCACAAAGCCAGCATCTTCAGCTGCTGATCAGGGTTTGATTATTCTCCAGTCTCCAAAAGTAAGAGACCACACAACTTAAACGCAAAATCTCAGAGCTTTCTCATTTACTCTGTTGGGAGATTCCCCTTCTTGTCTTAATTCCAACTGAGTAACTTTTGAAAACTGAAAAAAGAGAGGTGAGATTCAATGAGAAAGTTGATCTATATCTATATGGTGTGGTAATGTGCAGGTAGGGTTCTTCAGGAGATCCAAAACCATAAAGGGTAAACGCACTCCTTCGTCCTGTAAAGAGGTATTACCAATCTTCTTTTGGGCAGAATAGAGTGAGCGTGATTGATTCTATGGCAAAACCGCTCATTACTCTCCTCTTTGGTTTTGTTTTACTCTGACAGAAAGACCAAGTGAAAGAAGGTCAAGTTCTGTGTTACATTGAACAACTAGGTGGCCAATTCCCAATCGAGGTTATATAATATCCCATCTGAATTTTCTTATATTAGTAGTTTGCTTCTACCAAGTCTGTTAAAAATTGCTTCTCTGTTTTTCAACCAATCTTGCAGTCTGATGTTACCGGCGAGGTTGTCAAAATACTCCGAGAGGATGGAGGCAAGTCTACTTCTTCTTTAACCTTTTCATGTTTTTCTCAATACTTTTTGTGTATTGATTTTTTTCTCTTCTGGTTTTCTCAATTGAAACAGAGCCCGTCGGATACAATGATGCTCTCATCTCGATCCTTCCCTCCTTCCCTGGGATCAAGAAGCTTCAGTAATACCATATTCTAGCTCGTTTTGAATTACGACACTGTGCCTTGTGTATGCTTTTAGAACAAATAATCTCCATTCATTTCTCTGTATTCTGTTCGTCTTTTGCTCGTCTGAAAGTTCTTCCTTAAAATACTGTTTTTTATTCTGTTCTTTTTTTCTTTTATATAAAAACATTATGATACTTTTTCTTTTATACATACGATACAATCCCAAGATTTCAAAAGATCTCTCGGGTTAAAACGATAGGTGATGATTTCTAATAGTTAAAGATCTTCGTATTTTTAATAGTTTAAGATCTCTGGGCATTGCTGTTATTGACAGTTTGACTCCAGCCGTTGGAGAAGAAGCTTCTTTCTGAATTTCTGTATAAATGCCTCCGCGCTTTCGTTGATGTCACGTTCTTTCACTGACGGCTTCCTCGTCGGAATATTCTCCGTCTTCCCTGCTCTCTTCGGCTGTTCTCCGGCCTTCCTCGGCTCGTAGATTGAGGATATGTAAGAAGAAGAGATGATCTGAGATAAACGTTGCTCCATGGTTTAACACTAATGCTTCTGCTTTTTTTTTTTTTTTTTGTTTGGTTTTACTTAATGATGATTTGTGTGAACATATATATAGAGATATATGTATTTGGATGATGTATGTAGAACATGGCTCTAGATACATTGAACTTATAATAGAATAAGCTTTTCGGATTAAGATAAACATTGTTGTACAATGCTAAACCTAAGATACGCATATGTCTGTGTAGAACACGTTTTATCTGTAGAAATCTTCTACTTTTGACATTTTGATCTTTAATTTTTTCTTTCTTTTTGTTAAAAATCTTGTAAAAGAATTTCAGGGTTTTTCTCTTCATTGTTTTCAAGATTAACTACTCATTATGTTTTTCTTTTTCACGAATTAATGCATATGATATAATATAGCTAACACGAGTATGTATCGTGATGAAGACAACCATAAGATACTATAACATTGGAAGGAATACAATTATGGCCTAAGTATCTGCCTAACCCTCGCTTTAATTAGCCAAAGCATATATCCTTCAGGAGATAATTAAGATCAATATTAAAAGAAAGGCTAAACAGATTAATCCAAGTGTCGCATAATGAAGTGAAATCACATTCACGAGAACCAAACTTTTTCAATTAAAAAATAAAAAGTAAATACAAGACCAATAATTAACCCTCAAAACATTTCAAGCTTCAACCAAATTCGTCAAAACTCTAGTCGGATACGTAAAAAACTCTCAAATATAGTATTAAAAATACACAAATAAAAAATACAATCATTAGTCTTTCTAATCAAAATCTTTTTGTTCTCCGTGCACTTTCCTACATGAAAATAGGGTGAAAAAGAGTGAGAAGTAAATAATAATATTCTCAAATATAATTATCCGGTGATTTCATTTAAATATGCTAAAGAATAACATACCTCGACTGTACATTAACTAGTTCCTATCCAGTAACTTGAGAACTGTTACAAAATTTATAAAATGTTATTTTATAGTCAACACATAAAGATGAAGGTCGATAAACTAATAATATAACACATGCATATTCAAAAGTTAATGGAGTTGGACCTGAGAAATTGGGAGGAGAGTTACTCAAGATGTACAAAGCGTCACGCCAATCCTGAGGTGTTTTCTTAGAGGCCATGGCTCGGCCGATTGTGACCAGAGCCAAGGGGAGGCCATCGCACTTGGCTGCAACCTCCTGAGCCACCTTAGTTATGTCCGGGTGGCTCTTCACCGTCTCTTCTCCGGCATTCTTCTTAAACAAGTCCCAAGCTCTCTCCCATGGCAGCTTCTCCATTTTGATCTTCGTTTGTGCTCCCATTTCCCGACAAACCTCGTCCGAACACGTCGTGAACACTATCTTCGATCTGTTCTGTCCGTCCGGTGGCGGCACACCAGCTTTCACTATTAACAAATTTAAAAACCCTAAAATTTAGAACCAACTCAAGGCCTTTAGGGTAACTCATTAAAACTTAGGTCGCAAGTCATATGTGTAACGTAGATTTCTTGGACACAAGTAAAATGTTTACCTAGATCGACTTTCTCCCAAACGTCGTCGAGGAACAAAGCGAAACGTCTCTTGCTAAGTATCTCGAAGATCGTACCGGCCTTTTCTTCCTCGGTCTTGCTAGTCCACGACCTGTCAAGAAACCCTATCTTCTCTCGAATCGTGTCCTGAATCTTCTCAAGATTCAGATTCTTGGACACAAACACCCAAATCACAAAGTCAAACCCATTTGACTTGTGCTGAAGCAACCTGTTGTTAACCTGAGTCAACACCGTCGTCTTTCCAACGCCTTCCACGCCGTACAACCCAATAATCCCGGTGTTATCCACCGTCATGCACCGCCACACTAGCCCTGAAACCGCTTCCAATCCAACCGTCTGATCTTCTCTAGCAACGGTCGAGGTCATCATCGATGCACCACCACCGATCCCACTATTCTCAACCACCACATCGAATGTTCCTCTGCTCTTTATCTCCTGAACCTCTTTCGTCATCTTGCAAATCTTCTTGTCTACCTTGTGACTACTCGTCACTATGCTCGATCCATTCGAAGAAGAAGAAGACATCATAATCATCAACATCTCTTCTGCCTCTTTGATCGCTGCGTCGGATTGTCTAAGCCAAACCTGGACCTTCTCGAGCCGCTTCAGTTTCTGCTGATCTTCGTACATTTTGACTCTTTTCATCACATTGCTGCGTAGATCCTTGAGCTCCTCCGTCGCGGTTTTCAGCTTCTTGACGTTATCGTTCTCTTTTCCGACGTAGATGCATCGTGTCACCATGCTTTTGAAATCTTTCCCCATCCTTTGATCTCTTCTTCTTCTTCTTTAGTTGCACGAATTAATCTCTCAAACAACAAATTAGTTATAAAAATATGTATATATATATATATATATATATATATATATATATATATGATCGTGTTAGCTATGGCTTGTACTGACCCGCACGTTGAGTTTTATTTATTTATGCGAGTGTTAGTTGTTGGAAGATCTTTAAGATTTAATCATCCTATTTTTCATTCGATCGTGTGGTTAAGTGATTAATGTTAAGAATAGATGAGTTGCCGGCTACGTTGACCAAAAAATAAAAAGAATTAAGTAGATAAACATCGATATAAAATAAAGAAAAATGTTGATTCTTAATTTGTTTATGCTAATCATGTCATTAGACTCACAATCCTGCATCGCGAGTTTTAGCTAGATCTACCTACGAGACGACGAAACTGGTAGTAATTTGGTGACAAGTTTTCCCAAGAATGATGATTTGAATGTCACTGTCGTGACAAGAGACAAAAGTACATGTACTTGTCACATCAAATTAGCATAAATTACTACACAATACTATGATCTACTTCAAGTATATCATCTAAAGAAGATTTGTGCAATCTTGACGGTGAATAATGTTGTTGTCAGTCTACAAAACTCAAACCTCAGTAATGAAGAAAACTTTTCGTTTCTTTGCGTTCAAATTCAAACAAAGCCCTCAGTAGCCCATTTACATATTGGGCCTACTATTATATTCGGCCCAAATAAAAAGAGAGTTTGTCCCGGTTGCACAGTTCCACCGCCGTTTCTCTCTTCTCCCTCAAATCGGTTTTTTCGCATTTCCGTTCAATCAGGAAATCACTTCACTGATTTGTTTCTTCCTCCCTCACTGGTAAAATCCTCTCTTTCTGAGCTCTGATCTCCCCTTTCTCTCTCCTATTGCTTCTCGAGCCTTAAGGTTATGAGAAGTTTTACTTTTTAGCTTTTTAATTTGCAATATATGTGCTTAGTGTCGAAGAACTGTTCGTGAGATACGATTTTGTTGTTATTAGCAGAGAATGTCGATTTTTAATTGCTGTGCTGCTATCAAGTTCTTGTTTTTTGTTTTCTTCATTGGACTGAGTGATATTTTCTGGATTAAAGGAATTCTTATGATCACTCAATCTCTATAATAACTCCATTATATATTATTCTTACTAATTGCATGATCCTCTCATTTATTAATTGATTCACTAACTTATTCTTAATCAATACTCAGAGTTGGTTAAATTCTTTAGCAAGCGTTCGTGGGTTTCGTTGAGTTTTTTCTTTTTGACTTGTTTTAGAATTCGGAAACATCTAAATGCTGAAGAAGACAAGTGTTGAGTTGTTTTGTTTATATATAATTCGACACTGATTGAAACGAAAGCTTGTTACTTTGTCAATTTGTTGTTGTTGCAGGTATAACGGAGATGCGAGGGATAGCGACTAGATCACTTTATTCTTTGCGCCGATCCTTGTTATCGCACGTCCGTCACGGGATCCCCGTCGGCTCAGCCGGTGAATGCTGCCGAGAAACTCCTCCGCTTGGTTCACTGTGGTCTGCTGTTCAACGCCGCGGCGTTAAAGTTAATGCGATTCAGGTTAAGTTTCTTATGTACTTCTCCTGCTCGTTTGATTAGCGAGTTATTTGCTTGTCTTGTTTGTTGGAATTATAATGTGGAAAATTGTGATTCTGATTTAAGATAGTGTAAACTCGATGTATGGTGTCATTATTGGTTTTGTGTCGTCCGCTTTCTCACACTGAGTTCTTTGGGGTTTTTTTTTCTCAGCTAAGGACAGGGAATGTCATTGAAAGAACAGGTTGGAGTTTTTAGAGGTTTTGTCCTTTTCGTTATTCTATCCGAATGTTTCTTGGATTAGGTCTAATCTAACTCAATTTGATGAAACGTGGACTTTTCCAGGACGTACTTTCCGGGTTAGTCATTTGGACATTGGTTGTTTTCATTAAATCTTCAGTCTTTTTGGTTCTACGCAATGAGAAACACGAATTGTCTTTTCATGTTTTAGGTTGTAGAAGCAGAGCATAAACAACAAGGCAGAGGAGGAGCCTCCATACATGTATGCATCTCTGAAAGTCTTCACCAATAAAGTTACTCCTTAGGGTATTTTGATATATGCAGAACAGTATTGTATAATTACAGCTTTTATCAACAGTTTAATGTTCGTGTGTCACGTTGTCTTTTCTGTTGATATTTCTGTTTCTTAGCCTCATTACTTGCACCTCTCTTCTTCTTTGCGGGGAAACAGGTAGAGCTTCGCGATGTTGACAACGGGAGCAAACTTAACTTGCGATTTGGAGCTGAGGAGTCTGTTGAAAGTATGTTTCTTATTATATCATAACATTCAAAGCCTAGCGTGACTATATCAGATTGTTTTGGTGTCATATTGATTGCATTATTTTACTGCAGAGGTTTTTGTTCAGGAGAAATCTTTCACATGTTTATATACAGAGGGAGATACTGCATATCTGATTGAGTGAGTCCTAACTTTCTACGCAATGTCCTTACATGTTTCGTAGACCTTAAGGACCTGAGTTGTAAACCATTGTTTCTTTAATCATGTATATCCAACAGGCCCGATACGTTTGAGCAAGTTGAAGTGCCATTGGACATATTTGGCAAAGCTGCTGTATATTTAAAAGGTTGGTACGCACGATGACGAGTATTTGTAGTCTATGTCCTGCTTTTGAATCTGTTGGTTTAGCGACATCAATCCATTTTGTTTTGTTTTTGCTAGAAACCATTTACTTAATCGTTAACGTATCTGTTATCTATTTTGTTTGACAGAGGAAATGAGAGTTCAGTTGCAGCTGTATGATGGAAGAGCTTTATCTGCATCAGTCCCTAAGCATGTCACATGCACAATTGAAGAAACACAACTTCCCATGAAAGGCTTAACATCAGCCCCTCGGTATGTCTTTTTCTCTAAAATTAGGAACGCTTCAACATATTATTGATTCACACATGTACCTATCTTCTTTGATCCAACCTTAGATGAAAAGTTATGAGAAAAACGTCCCAATTCTTTTAAATTGCAGGTATAAGAGAGCTCTCCTGGATAATGGTTCCACTATTCAGGTACTTTATACTTTGAGTTTAAACAAAATCTAAGAGCAGCAACATAGAAATGGGCGCACAAAACCTTTCAAAAGTTTTTTTTATCTTTGGTAGTATATATTTCTTTTCTTCATGACTGTTGACCAACTTTCCACCTTAGCAGGTGGCGGCTTCGTCCACTTCTATGGACCATCAGCTTCCTGATCACCACTTCTCTTTATGGATGAGAAAAGTGGGTGACCAAGAAGCTGATGGTCGATGAAAGTGGATGAATCTCCGCCTGCTAGTAGAAAGTTAGTCAATAGTTTGTCCTTTGCAGATATGCTTATTTTCTGTCTCATACTCTTTGAATCTTCTTCACTAGTCTTGATTGTTCCTCAAGGTACCATCATATCTCGAGGCAGGTGAGAAGATTGTGATAAACACTGAGGATGATTCTTTTGTCAAGAGGTAAGCCACTCTTTAATTCTGTGTCCAGATTGTTCATTTGTTGTTATAAGCTTTGCTCACAGTCTTTCTTGTGTTCTCTGATTGTTTACAGGGACAACAATTGAAAACGATTGCATAGTCAAAAATGCGTCTCTTATGGATGAAGATAAAACTGGATTATCAGAAAGATTAGGACGCTAATATTGTTCTTCAACTTCTCATAATCTCGGAGCACCTGCGTTGATCAAAGGTGTTAGATTAGCATTTTCCATATGGGAGATTTACAGACTGAGACAAAGATTACAGATTGATAAAGGTTAATTTGTTTCATGGAAAACATTATTGTGTCTTTCAATAAAATCGATCGAACACTAGATACGTGATTAGTGTGAAGTGTACCTATGTACTATGTAAGAGTTTATTTTTTGGAGGCAACATCATTAATTGAATAACCTAAAAAATTAATGTAAAAAACCACGATTATTCGATCAAATTTCATTAAATCTTAGAACTGAATAATAATATATACTTCTTTTGTCTTCTCCGATCGAAAGCAGAGCTGCACGGAAAAAACATCAAATGGTTTCGATTCCGGTGAAGCCACTCTTCGTCGTGGTCTTGACCTTTTCTCTTCTCCTCGCTGTTATTCTGCTATCTCCGTCGCCTCAGTTCGTGCACACTCCACTCTCACCGGGTTCTTTGCTGTAAGCGATTGTCTCTGCTCTAGATTTCACTTATTTCATGGTCTCGGCTCACGAGAACTGCCCTCACAAAGAGGGAAATTAGAAACTTTCAGATATGAGGTCAAATTTGTTTAGTTGGGTTATCATTCGATCGACGGTTCTTCGGTTCTGGAATTTAGATAGGATGATACTAAAATTAGCCTAAAAAAGTTCACCTTTTTTGTTTCTTGGCTTTTCTGTAGAGATGTGAAACTCGAACTTGTCCTTTGCTTTCAGTGATTTTGATATATGGAGTGTCAAAAGGATAGCGGAATGGCGTCCTTGCAAATGGTGGTTACAAGGACATCTCACTCGTATGGATTCTTTCTCTATCCTCTCTTTTCAATAAGTTTCTGAGTTAAGAATCCTCTGTACTTTGGTTCAGAAAGTGACTCCTGTGATTGATCTGAAGAATGTGTGATTCTGTTTCGTGAGATGTGAAGAGTATATATAGTCTTTGTACAACGTTTGTTGTTATATATATTGTGTAGAAAGGACATTTGTTTGTTTGTTGGTTCTCTGTTTGATTACTCTGAGTCAAAACTTTTGATCGGTCTTCATTGCAGACATCTGCTTTGGTTTTTTTGTTCAGCTCTACCTGCGGAAACCAGCGGATACATACGCATTGATTGCTATGGCGGCCTCAATCAGATGAGACGCGATGTAAGTTTGAGACAAAGAGACCTAAACCTGCTTTTCTTACTTTTCTTTTACTAAATAAAAACATATGATCATATGATTGCTTGCAGTTCTGCGACGGTGTTGGAATCGCTCGTTTATTAAACGCCACACTTGTTCTTCCAAAGTTTGAGGTGGCTGCATACTGGAACGAGTCAAGGTAGTAGTTAGTAACCACTTTTAAGTGTTTAAGTTTCTTTAGTTAAACACTTTCTCGCTTTTTAAATTGTGATACATTCTTTCTGCAGTGGATTTGCAGATGTGTTTGATGTAGACTACTTCATTCAAAAGACGAGTGGCTTTATCAACGTTGTCAAGGATCTGCCCACAGATATGTCATCGAAAGAGCCATTCAGAGTTGACTGTAGCAAAAGAAAAGGTCAATTCGATTACAGAGAAAGCATTCTCCCACTATTACTGGAACATCGTTACATTTCTCTTACACCCGCAATGAGCCAGCGCAGGGACAGGTACCTGTTCTTGTCAGATTGTGGAATCTTATAGTTTCTTTATATGTTTTTCAGCATTTGTGTGGTTGGTTACATTTCAGGTATCCTCAATATGCAAAAGCCACGCTCTGTCAAGCTTGTTACTCCGTTCTACGTCTCACTAGCTCATTGGAGAAGAAAGCCGTCGAGCTTTTAGATGCCATACCCAAACCTTTCTTGTCACTTCACCTTAGATTCGAGCCTGACATGGTAGCATACAGCCGGTGTGAATACCCAACCCTCTCTTCTTCCTCGATTGCTGCCATTGAAGCTGCACGAGCAGACAAAAAGCCTTGGACAGGAGAGCTAGCTCGGAGCTGGAGAAAGCGTGGCAAATGCCCTTTGACACCCAACGAAACAGTTTTGATGCTTCAGTCACTGAGAATACCAACAAGCACTAACATATACTTAGCAGCAGGAGATGGTCTGATGGAGATGGAAGGTTTCACATCGGTTTATACAAAAGTGTTCGCAAAGTCTGCTTTGTTGAACCATGACGATTTCACAAGAATGCATGGAAACACAAAAGCTGCATTGGATTATTATGTTTCCATCAACAGCGACGCGTATGTGGCTACGTACTTTGGAAACATGGATAAGATGGTTGCAGCGATGCGAGCATATAAAGGGATGCATAAAACTATGTTCTTGAACAGAAAGGCGTTTTCAGAGATAACTTCTCAGGGACTTGAAGAGCAAGAGCTGAAAAAAGCAATTTGGGAAGTTCATAAGAATGATTTTGAAATTGGCAGAGGATCTGCATTGCCTGATTGTTTCTGTGAATTCAAGTTGTAATTTTCAGACACAAGCTACGTTTTGTTTTGCATTAAGGTCATTATATTTTAATTGTTTTTAAATCACCCAACTATTTTGATTAAATTAGTACATCCCCTAAGAGCTCAAATCTCTACCTGAGTGGAAGTTGTGTCTAGTCATAGACAACTCTGTTAAAGAAATGGTCACAGAGAGAGACGTTGATGGTTTCAAAAGATATAACTGTATGATTATAAAATTCGGCTTTAAAGCATTCTACAATTTAAATATAAAATTTGTTGTGTTCATCGGCTAAAAAAAGATGATGAGAGTTGCAGAAGCCACTTCCCCCACCAACTGACCAGCCTTTATGAATGTAGTCTCAGTCTTTTGATGTTATAACGAGCAAGCCCAAAGCACCAATGAGTATATACTGAAAGAAGAGAAGACAAACAAGATCTAATAGTGAATATATATGTCTCCAGTCAAAAACCATAACATGAATCGCAGGTTGTGTTAGCAGATTGTACCTTGATGATAGGCTTTTCTGTCATGATAATAGTCACCCATCCAACATAAGGCAAGAACCTGAAAAAAAAGACCAAAAGAGAACCATTTACGACTATTGATCTTTGTATGTTCGGGCAGGAAAGGTTGTAGAACTAGTAGAGTATTTACCCAACAGCTCTGCCCATTATATGGTGCCGATGAAGCCACATCTGTCCTTCAGCATAGAGACCAATGTCATCTATGTCATTGTTGTCACCTGGAAAAATGCACAGGTGTGTCAAGTAATCCATATGAATTTATACGCAGTTGCTATAAAGGGTTTAACATTCAAATGAACAAAACTAGCAACCTTTTGTTAGAACATCAACTTCTTTAGTATTTTTCCTCTCGTGAACCTGTGATGTGATGATAGAATATCTCAAATATTAAGAACAACCCTGTGACTAATCTCGAGTGATGATAATGAAGAAAGTAAAAGAAAAAGCATTTACTTTGATGGCACGATGGACGATGGGAATCTCACGACCCTGAAAAGAAGAAGCATTCAGATGAAGAAGTTTGAAAGAAGATAGTGAATTTGATGGAACCAAAAGAAAGAGACACACACACACGAACACGAACAAAGAGTGGCACTTACATCAACACTGAAAACAACAATCTCGCCTGCTCGAATGGGCTCCTTGGTCATGTGCAAGAACAATATATCCCCCTGTTACATTGATTACTGACTCATTCAATCTGAAAAATAGCAGAAGCAAGAACCACATAAGCTGAATGCAACAAGTAAAAGCTAAAGATGTTACATACTCTCTTAAAACCAGGTTCCATGCTTCCTGAGAGAACAACCACTACCGGAGATTCAGTGCCGGTCACACACATCAACGCCTTCCATATTATCAACGCAGACGTAACGATCATACCTAAACGCAAAACAGCCAACGATTATTTTCATCTATCATGAGAACAATTTACCACCAATTTAAAAAAATCATGTTTCTCAAAATGTTAACACTGATCGTTTTTCTGAGATACAACACGATTGATTCAAATAAACTTTTTATACGAAAAAACGAAATCGGGAGAGAAATGTTAGCGAATTGGTGAAACCTAGAGACAAATTTCTCGGATTTTTGGATAATCGAGAATCCGCACACAAATGAGGTAAAAATCAGTTAATATCGAAACGAACCGAGCGTGACGGCCTGAGTGAGAAGCTGACGGATCTTGATAGATTTGATGGAATCTACTGTTTCTCCGATGTAACCCATATTTCTTTTTCCTTCAAACTCTAAGCCGAAATGATTCAGATCCGCAGAAGTTTCTCCTCAAGCGTTTCAGTGGAGAAGAAGAAGACGACGATTTTTTTCCACGAGCGTTTTTGGAAATCGGGTTAAATATCGAAATATCGGTTTACAGTCAAACCGGTTTAAATACTTAAAAGCCTAACTTTAAATGTTTAGGCCCTTGACTATACTCTTGTTACCAAAAACACCACTTTAAAAATCAATGGTCAAAGCCGATCCAAACAGTCGTCCTTGAGGAGATTCGATTGTCAATTTGTATAATAGTGTAAAACTATAGTTATCTTGGCCCACATTATGAGCCCACATTATGGCCCATTAAGGTCTTCTTCTCCCCTATCTTTGTGTGTCAGTGTTTCACCGCCGGCGGCAGAAAACTCCCAACATTATTTGCCTGACATCGATCGTCGCCTGTAAGTCGAAGCTATGATAACCAATCTTCCTCAAGATTTGTTAGAGGAGATTCTCTCTAGGGTTCCGTTCAAGTCTACGAGAGCGATGCGATCTACTTGCAGAAAGTGGCACACTTTATCCAAAGTTGGGGACTTTACAACAAAGAAGCGAATCGCTGAAGCAGCAAAGGAAGGGGGGATTTTGGCGATCGTGCTGATTAATCGCAGTCTTCAGTTGGCGAACGTCAACATCAACGACTCTGATCCATCGATAAGGCCTG